CAAGAACATTCCCCATTATATCTGTTTGGAAAAGAGACATGGTTCTTGAGAGGTTGAAAATAGAGTATGAACTGGGGTTTGGTAGAGGTAAAATCTTACCTAGAATTGCTGTAAAAGTGGAAGAAAGTCCAGAGGTTAGGAAAATGATCAATAATAATGACATAAATGTTCAGTTTATTTATAATAAATTTATTTTAATAATTCTTATAATTTGATTTGCAATATAGGTTTTCTTGAATGATTTTGTTAGCCTAGTGAAAGAGACTTGTACAAACCTTTCAAGACTTTCAGGAAAATTGATGAAGGCAAAGGAAATATTTCTAGAAAATCATTTGGTGAAAAAAGTTGATGAAGTTTTAGGAAGAATGGCTACAAGGGAGCAATCAATCCTAAGCCAAGATGAAGAGTTCTATGAATCAGAGGAGTTCTTGAATGCAATTGCTCAAATAGAAAAAGATCTCGTGGAAGCAGCTGATTTGAACAAAACTAGAAACTGGAAAAAGCAGGATTATGATGTACGAAAAGCATTTGCCTTCCATTTAACTCCACCGTCTCCAGCGACTGGTAAATACAAATTATATTCTTTTTTAAGCATCATGTCATCGCTTTTAATTTAACAACTTTGTTTAACTAACAAAATTTAATTCAAAACAGGAACAGGTCCTGGTTCTTCAACACATGCCTTGATTCTTGAACCCCCAATGCAAACAGTTTCAGGATCAACTGGAAAGGCTAATGAAGGAACATCTGCTATAGGTTCAATATGTTCATACTTAATAATCATAGTATTCATTTTCAATATTTGAATGTCTAAAATAAATTGATCATATTACAGATAAAAGAAATGTAGCCCCTGCTACAACAGCAGCTGAAAAGACTATTGATGAAAGTTCAGCTTCAGGTAAAAGATGTTCATATATAATGAATATAATGATCATTTACAAGTGTATTTCATTATAATTGTTTATTTTCAATAATTGAATTTTTAATTAAACATATTTTACAGAACAAAGAAAAGTAGCCTCTGCTATAGAACTAGTTGAAAAGGCTAATGAAGGAAGTTCAGCCTCAGGTATAAGATGGTCATATAAAATAAGTATAATGATCATTTACAAATACAAGAAATTGTTTATTTTCACATAATTAAAAGTGTTATTTTTTTTAGGTGATCCAAAGAAGGGTTATTCTACAGTTACTCCTGATGATATTGATTTGAAATTGAGCATAGGAGGAAAGAATGAAGATGTATTGGAAAAAGACAAACAAGGAGGACAGGGGTAATATGAAAAACCTCACCAAACTTTCAAGATGTATTAAGTGGATATGTATATTTAAAACAATCTAAATATGTAATAAGTAAGCACAGTGTTTTATTTTGGGGATGAAGAAGTAGTGTTTATTTTTCTAAGAACAATTTGTGTTATGGTAATTTATTTTGCGAAGAACAATTAGTATTATGTATAATTGTTATATTTAAATTATGTAATTAAAGTTTTTAACTTTTTCAATATCAGAATGTTTAAAAATGATGGGTATTTTCAAGAGGTTATTAAGAATGAACATTTATTGTTGTATGATTGTACATTTATGTACCTACTAACTACCTTTGATATTTCAGTAAGAACAAGGAAAAAGATTCATCAGGGAAACTCATGGACAGGTAAACAATTTTAAATAGTAATGAACATTTTCAGATAAGTAAATATTCATTTGTTTTCAATGTTAAATTATAATGAACATTTATAGATTACTAAATGTTCAATTGTGTTGTTTAATATGTTCAGGAATGATGAAAAGAAAAACCCAATTGCAAAAAAGAGTAAAAAGGCTGGAAAGGAAAAAGTTGAAAGGTATAATTTCAAATTTATTTATATACATTTAAATGTTCATTTAATGTTCTTAATATAACTATAGTACATTTGTTGAACATCAAGACCTCAACGTGAAAAGCAAACAATTCCTCATGCTTTCCGATCACCGTACATGATCAAGTACAAAGACCTATTCAAAGATGAGAAAACAATGAACCAAATTGTAGTAGACTTTGCTCTCAGTGGTGAAGATGAAAGGTAAATACTTACTTTAATTTAATTAAAGTGGAATATATTATCTAACAATATGTTCATATATATATATTACGAAATGTTCATATTTCAGTGCACTTTTATATTATGATGGCTTGAATCTCATCAATAGACAAGAAATGAAAACACTTGGAGATGATGTTCAAGTAACAAATTGTGTGATAGATGGCTGGGCAAGAGTTCTTCATCATAAAAAGCCAAAAAGAAAAATTTACTTCTCAACAATGCTTCACGTTAGTTTTACTTCTTTTTTTATACCAAGTGTTGTTTTATATGATTATTTTATACAAAATTTTCACTAATTTTATATATCATTGTTTCTATTTCAACAGCACATTATGTGTATAAATAGAATTTGTAGAGAAGGTTCATCCATGGAAAAAAGAATTCATGCCTTCATAGAAAGAATTGACAATGAGTTGAAAATGAATAAGATTGATAGCCTTGTTGGATACAAACAGGTATTTCCATAAAGTTCATAATAAAAACGTTCAATTATGAATAGTAAAATGATCAATAACAATAAAATATTTGTTCAGGTTTTCTTCCCAGTTTCAACTTCTGAGCATTTTTTTCTATTGTGCATCAATCATATGGAAAAGAAAATTCATATTATTGACAATAGGAAACTACCTCAACATATCTCAGTCCAATCAAAGTATGAAGAGCAACCAAAAATGATGGTGAGTAATTATGTTCATTTTTGTTTGGCTAAATGATCAGTTTCTGTTTCTATTTGTTCATGTATTCTACACAATACCAAATACTAAGTATTTTTTACTATTGCTTTTATTAGCTTAAGGGATTGGCAGGATACATGAAACACCTTGGGTATGAAGATGCTGATAAAATTGAAGAGTACAAAATTGTTTTGGAGAAGATGAAATGGCGTAGCAACGAGGATCATACAAACTGTGGTGTATACATTATGAAGCACATGGAAACCTTCACCGGTGATCCTAATGAAAGTTGGATATGTGATTTAAAACCAAACAATGTAAGTATACTAAATGTTCAATTATATAATATAGAATGTTCATTTATAAAAAAAAGGTACAAAATAATAATCATTTTAATTTATTTTGTTCAACAGGTGAACCAAATTAGAACGCTAAGGATACAATACGTAGCAGAGCTGATGCTATTTGAAGAAAACACTGAAGTAATGATAAATAGAAGAAAAGCAAGAAAGTTTGCAAAGGATTAATTTGACATGTTCATTTACGAATATGCATATGATCATTGTTCAAATATAGACATATAGATTTTTTATTTTTCACAAAGTATTCTATGTTATATTTCTTATGGTTATTCGAATGCAAACAATATTTTTATCTTTTTAAGATACAGTTTATATGAAAATTGCAAATTTTATAAATTAGCTCTTATTCTTGAATATATAATACTTAATAAAACAAAATAATAAAAATGTTCATTACCAATAAAGTATATGATCATTACAAAAATCAAATATGTTTAATTACATATATTTGCAACAAAATATTGAAGTGGAGCAAAATAGTTCAACAAAACAAGTTTTTACTTGTTATTTTTTGCCAACCTCTTAGCTACATTAGTATCAAAAAATGCTAAAAACCTATCATACTTATAAGAAACATGTTGACCACCACGCTGAGTGCCTTGAACTTGTTCATCATTTGAAGAAGCTATAACTTCAATGCTTCTTGACGATGGAACAGAAACTTGAACAGGTTTTGGAGGTAACTGAACATTTCTTGGAGGTACTTGAACATTTTTTGAAGGATCTTGAACATTTGTTGGAGGAACTTGAACATTTCTTGCAGAAACTTGAACATTTCTTGGAGGAACTTGAACATTTCTTGGAGGAACACTTGAAGAAGCATGAGCATTACTTGAAAAATTTAAATCCTTCTCCTAGATAAAAAATATTAAGCATTATAATAAATATATATATACATAAAAAAAATTATAAATGAAATTTAAAAAGAGTAAATAAACCTTAGCAAGAGCAGAAATATCTTCATCAAAAGATAAATTGGATCCAAAAGAACTTTCAACAGCAACCTATAAAAAAAATTACAATTAACCAACAAAACAATAATACAAAAATTATATTTACATAATGCCAATAATTTTTAAAATAAAAAGAATTAAAAAACAAATACCTAATTAAAACCATTAAAAATACTTTCATCAAAATCATTAGAACAATAAGGATCTTTTTCTACAGAAGATGCCTTCCTAGCAACCTAAATTATAAAAACATGAAATATAATCATTCATAAAAACGTAAATGAACAAATTTAGGAAAAAAAAAGTTATAAAAATATTACCTTAGAAGGTGGGTTTTTCAATATAACCAGTTCATCAAAATCACACATAGAATTAGCATAAGAAACAGGAAGTCCAATATCATCAAATTCCTAAAACAAAAAAAATAAACATTAGTATCAAATAAAATGATCAAATATAAAAACCTTTATGTTCAATAGTACCTGAACTCCTGATTGACCTTTAGCCCTCATGTAAGGTGTATATAAAGACTTTCTCTTCCTCCAATTACCCCTAGCTTTATTAAATTCCTTTTCTACAGTACTTTTAGGCCGAACATTTCTCTCACCAACAGGTCGTTTTTTGGGAGGATCATTAACTTCATGATCAACAATTTCAACACCTTCAGCAGCCTCATTGAAATCAATTGTGCCCCTAACACTCTCAACTTTGTCTTTTAAAATATCAAAATAGAGGTCAACTTCAGCTCTTGCAGACAAAGAATTTTGACAACTAGTTACCAACTTCACAAACTTCCTTAATGTTTGCGACCTCCAAACAGTAGAGGACACCAAATTAGTTCTTGAAGAAGGTTTATCAACAGTAGTATGAGTACACATTGCAGCCTTGGTTCAACGCTTCATAATATACTCATCCGGAATCTTAGGTACACAATGTAAATGATATACACGAAGAGAATGAGAACATAACATGAGTTTCCTTGTTGAAAACAACTTCATGCCTAATCTTATCTTTACCAGATCTCGATAAATGGTATGAATATTCAGGAAAATGAAGACCAGCATCAGAATGTTCATAAGCAGTACCCTTAATGAACTCCTCTTCAAAAATAATATATGCTTGAATGGTGTACAAAGACTTAGCATGAACTAAAATGCTAATATGAGCAAAAGCAAGATGACGATTACCCCTCAATGTATTAAAATCATTTCCATTCTCTTTGCTCCTCCACTCACAGATAACATCAAGAAAAACATGGTAGAAGTCACACAAACCTTGGGTCTTATTAAGCCTTTCCGAAACAGATTTATTTGTAGTTTCACTTCGTTGAGATGATAAAACACCACCAGACCAATGCTTCTTAGAATAGGCTGGACACCACATCTCTTTAATCTTGTACAAATCACACAACCAATAATCTTTTTCACATTTATATTTCATTAACATTCTGCATAAAACATATGATCATTTGATATTGTATAAATGAACAAATTATATTATATAATGTACATATATACAAAACTAAATGATCATATTATATAACTAAAATAAACAAACTTCAAAATACATATTATAATTAAAAAAATTGTCAATACCTTTTCCAAAAATGTTCAAATTCAGCAGGGGTTTCACAATACTTGAGCAAATAACCAAACAAATCTGTAAATCCATCCAAAGCTCTCAAAGCCCCAATATGCTTCTTAGAATTTTGCTCAATGTGCCAAACACAAAGACGATGATGCACACTTGGAGGAAATACATTCCGAATACCAGCTGCAATAGCTTGAGCTTGATCTGTCATAATTGTGATAGGACTTTTGTTTCCCATAGATTTCAAGAATGTATCAAAAAGCCACACAAAAGACTCGGTTCGCTCATTGAAAATAAAACCCATACCAAACATGAGGTTATTAGCATGATGATTCATACCAACAAATGGAGCACAAATCATTCCATATTTATTTGTCCTATACGTGGTATCAAAAACCAGCAAATCTCCAAAATACTCATAATCTCTCTTTATCCGACCATCACGCCAAAAAAAGTTAACTAAACACCCATCCTCATCTTGTTCAAAGTCATAGTAAAATTCAGCTTCATCAAGTTGTCTTTTAGCAAAATATTTGATCAATTGATGACTGTCACAACCATCAAGTAAAGCTCGTTTTTCAGCAGATAAAGAATTATAGGCATCCGGTGCTGTAAATCCTAAATTAGGAGAGCCACCAACATCCTTTTTCATTGCCCTCAAGGCTGCAGAAATTTTAACTCCACTACACCTCAATGTAGACATGAATTGCAAATTTTCTTTAGAAACATTCCTTTGAGACCTTAACAAATGTCTCTTTTCTAGAGGAATCATATGATGATTATGTTTCATGTAATGCTTTGTACATGTCCATAAACCTAAACGATCAATCTTAAACTGAATAAAAGCCAAACAACCAGTTCTTATATTAAGTCTCTCATAAGTCCTTTTATTCTTTGCCTTCTCATCCTTCCAACCTTCATTGCAACAAACAAATCTTTTCATCTTCAAAGAGCCATCATTTCGACTTTTACTTTTATCAATTCTAATCCCAGATCCATGCTTAAAAGCATATTCATTATAAATATCATAAGCTTCTTCTTCAGAATTAAAATCTTTATAAAGTAACTCTGATTTAGTTGCCTCTTCAAACATAATTTCATCACTAGTACCCGCTGCATAAGCTTTTAAAAATGAACATAATAAATAACAGATATGTACCAATACAAAGCAGTACATATATAAATGATCATTTAGCATAATCAACATGATCAAAATATTTAAATAAAATAAATTATTGAATATTAGTGTAATTGATAATGATCATTTAAAATTATTCAACTATTCAAAATAATAATACACAGTACCGTAATCAACAATCAAAATCAAAAATCACAAATAAAACTAAATCAAAAACACAGTCAAATAATTATATAACAAATAAAAATAAAATAAAATAGAAATCAAAATCAGAGTACTCAAAATCAAGCTAAAACAGAGACTAAATTGATCTAAAACAAAAACAATTTAATCAAAAAAATCAAAATCATAAAACAACAAAAACAAAAGCAAAATCAATTCAAAAAACTAGCATTAATCATAATCAAACAAATCAAATTCATTAATTAACTAAAACAGAAACAAAATTAATCAAAACAACTCACATTCATCATAATCAAACTAATTACATTCATAAAACAACCTAATCAAAATAAAAAATGATCAAAACAACTTACATTGATCAACAAATGAATTCAGCAATCCAGTAGAAGACGGAAAAACAACTTCACAATGACGATCAAACTCGGAAATCGAAGAATGCTGAAGTTCACAATCACGATCAACATCTAGAATCACGAATTCATCCATAATTGAGAGAAACAGGAACGATCTAGAGAGAGAAAATGAACAAAAAAGAGACAAAAATACAAAAATTAGGTTGAAATTGAAATATATAGGTAGCTTGAACAATAAGTAAGGAAAATTAAAAGAAAAGAAGGAAAGTCAGGAAAAAAAAAAGAAAAAAAAGAAAAAAAAAAGAAAGAAAGAAAGAAAGAAAGAAAGAAAGAAAAAAAAAAAAAAACAAGAATGATCAAAACGACGTAGCTACATGGGGAGAGTAGACAACAATAGCTAAAGGAGGGTGTAGGTAAAAAATTTCATAATTTTTTCGCTACAAATTTTAACCTACACTCTACGGCAAGGAACACTGCCTGCACCCACCTCCGCGCGTGCCCCGCCCCCACCCCTTTTCATTTATGAATTTTCAATAAATTTTTTGTAATATGTTCATTTATGTATTGGTAAATGTTCATTTATAAATCATTAAATGTTCATTTTTATATAAGAGTTTTTGTTCAAATTAATATATTTTATGAATTGAATTTTAAGATTATTTTATCAATAAAAATAAGAGAAAATTTATTTATATGGATTGTTGCATTTAAATCATTTTTATTATTAGAACTATTGCATCATCCAATGTTCATTTTTGTTTATTCATGTTTCAACATATGTTCATTTTTGTATCATGAAATATTCATTTCAAGAGCCATGTGTAAGTTTTATAGTAAGATATGCATACATCTTAGAATTGTATTTATATAAATAAAGAGTTGTTAAAAAAGATTCCAATATAAAATAAATTCAATTTAATTGCAATAATAATGCATTTCCATACAACTATACTATTATATGTAATTGTTTCATAAACACGAAAGTGAACATTATTGTTTGGGTAGTTGAAAGACTATCACGAAGTCGGTTTGAACATTTAGGTTTTTTGTTTGTGAACATATTGCTTTTCTAATATGATCATTAAATTTTGTATCATTGATCATTAACGACTTGTTTACTTCTCATAAGGAAGAGCAATCAATATTAGAAATATAATTTACATACTAGATGTTTTGTATCATCTAGCTACCAATATTGAAATGAAATTCATAAAATAAAAATAAGCATTTATTTAGCTTCCAAAATGTCAAAATTTGTCTATTAAAATGAACATTGTCTCTTATATTTAATGTGTGGTATTAATATTCAAAGAACATTTTACAACATAAAAAATGAACAATTATTAAACTTGAATGAATATCTTTTAATGTGCAATTGAACATTTAATAAAATTTAAATAAACATCTATTAAAATAATTATCTGCATATATATGTGAATGAACATTTACCCATATGTAAATGAACATATATTATTGTAAATATAAACACAATATCAATATAAAAATGAACTTCAATTACCATTTCAATACATTGTCATTTAATACATTTTGTATAAATAACAGGTATATAAAATCATCTTTATTGTGTATTGTTTTTAATACATATCCTTTCTCAATATATACATCGATGTCTTCTACTTTCTTATACAATTATCCTGTGTAATAAGAGATCTAATTTTTAAACAATTAATAAACATTTACACATACAAATATGAACCCATTATTAGAAAATGATCATATATAGTGCAATATAAAAATGAACAATTATTAAAATATACATGAGCATTTTTCAATATGAACATGAACAAGTGTTAAAAGTCAAACGAGCATTAAAAATAGTTTTCATTATGAACTAAATTAACTATACCTATGGAAAATATGTGAAGAAATCGGCCAAAAATAGACATCATTAAGAGATTATTAGAATTCATTATGTAGATCGTTTATTAATATGTGAATGACCGCTTACTAATATATAAATGAACATTTATGTAAATGAAACTGAACATTCATAAAAAAATAATTTTCACTATAACCTAAATTTACATTTATATAATTTTACGAAATAGATCATATTATCCATAAAATAAGGACAATTAAACTCTGTTTTCAATTTTTATGTCCAACAATGTTGTAATCAAACAACACACCATAAATTAATTCAACACAGAAGAGTGTATATATATTAAATCACTTTTATGATAAAAAAAAGTATAAGAATTCAAGAGCTACTATCAAAATTTTAATATATTTACTGAAAATAATTGAATAATATGGCAAAAAGTTAGGGTTTGCACTTTTATTCTTCCAAAAATAACTTACAATTTGATTTTATATCCTTGCAATTGTGTGACTTCATCTCTTATATCAAAGAACGCACTTGATTTTTATAAAGAATTTCGAGTTTTTAAGTAAATATTTTTGCAAATTTTGATAAGAGAGAATGGAGAGTGAAGATTAAAAGTGTATACTAATTTTAGGAGAGAGAAAACAATGCTTCTATCTTTTTTTTTTTTGGGGTGTAAAAAGTAAACTATAGCAGTGTGTTGTTTGGGGAAAGTGGATAGTGGGGGTGTAGGTAGTGCTACCTACACTAAAGTGTAGGTATATATAATTATTTTTTCGCCCCCAAAATCAGGTCGGACCCGGTCCGCAACTTAATTTTTTGAGCCGGTTTGGGAATGCGTTTTTATGCATTTTAGTTGATTATTTTTTACTCGACCTGAAAAGCCCGCATGGCCAGACCATTTGGGACGGGTTTGGGCACAAAAATTTCGACCCAAAACTTGGCCCGACCCCGATAAGTGAGCTGATTTTTTAACCTTGTCCCGGCCCGCCCAATGATCATCTCTATCTTTGTCAAACACAAGCATGTTCTTTTTTGTCAAATATAATGTTCTTTTTCAAACACGTTCAATCACCCGAGTAACCATGAAAAATAACATGTTCTTTTTGTAGAGACTTTATGTTCTTTGTAATGTCATGTTCTTTGTCAAACACAAACATGTTCTTTTGTCAAACACAGGTATGTTCCTTTTCAAACACTCGAATGTTCTTTTTTTGGCTCATGTTCTTTAAAATATGTATAATGTTCTTTTCGGGTGCACTATACTATTTTCAGTTTGATTTTGAGTGCAGCTCATGTCAGGTTGGATTTTTTTTTTTTTACTCCTATTGTTTCATAATAATTCCAATACTTTAATCAACAGGCACATATACCAATGCACATGATGACCATTAATAATTGTAATTATATATTAATTAGAAGTACTCCATAAAAGATTCATATAATGAAAATATACTTAAAGACTAATCTAAAAAAAATTACATGAAAACACATGTTTTTTATATATTGGTTAAAAAAAATATACTTAAAGTAAGATTACAAATAGTGCAAAAGTGAAGGTGCTGGTATTATTATGAAATGGAGGGAATATGATGCCAATAATCCAAGATAGGTAAAATATTGAGTTAAGTCCACATATATATGGTTATCAAGTTTTGTCATTTTTCACATTTCGTGTGATTAAGTTTTAATTGCTAATAGTTTGGTGATTGAAGGCACACTTCTAGCTAACTATACCCAAAAAAAAATTTCACTAACCACACGGTCCACACTTCTAACTACACCAAAACATAATCACTTGAGTATAACTTAATTACCTGTCATAATTTAATGTTCATTTTCTGGTTTATTATCACATTTTCCCAACTCATCTTCTCTCTCCTCTCTTTGCCAAAGGATCTGATTTATCCACCTCCGTATATGTGCATGAGCAAACCGAGTACTTGATCAATATTTTAGAAATTGGACTTGAAAGTGATTGGAACGGGTCCTAAAATTCAGAACTAGAATTGGACCCGATTCAATCGGTCCTAATTTTAAGAATTGGAATTGGAACTAGATGGTACCAACTTATTTATATAATTATTAGAATATCATACAAATTATAATACTTATTTTAACCTTTTTTTTTATCGATTAATACATACATTTATATGTTACACATTAATAATATAATTTTTATTTTAACTAACTAGATACATTCAAATTTATTTTTTTTTTAAAAATATATATATATTAATAATGTATGTGAATTGAATAATCAGGTATGTAATGAACCAGTTCAGTTCATTTACTAACTAGATATTCAAGGGTATGAAGTATATGGGTTGTAAGTTTAGGGGAATGGCTTTGGTAATGCTTTTGTAAAGTATAACAAAGCAAACATATACATAAGTTTTACAATTTCTGCTACTTGTAGAGCATTAATGTTTCTGATATATTTCTCTAAGATCCAACTAGGAATTTGCATTTTGACAGTTTTGATCGTTACAACTTGTGTGATTAAACTAAACAAAAGCATACCCTACTGCTCTTTGATTTTGGGGATAGATAACAGGAATCTAAGGATTCTATATAGAGGAGACTTAACCTTTGGGAAAGCTGAGATCATTGAGAAGGTCAGAGACGATTTGAACAGATAAAAGTTATTATTATAATAAAACTAAAAAGAGATAAGTAAGGAGATATCAAATTTGAAGATAGAACTCCTTAGCTCAAATGAACCCAAAATTTAATCAAGCGAACATGTATGTGATATGGGGACTAGCATTACCATGAATATGAACATCTCCCGACCCTAAGATATGGACAAAAAAAGGAAAAAAGTTGTAACCCTATTTCCCTATAAAGGTTCACACCTTTACAAATCTTGATAGTGGCTCCTAGCAAGGCATCAATCAAGTATTCAAGGAGTACCGTCTTTAAGGCAATATTTTGACGAGGGGTGGAACTAGGTCGTTGAATCTAATCCTCCCTCGGTCAAACTAAATTTATAAACACTTAACAAACCTATAAACAAGTATAGAGGCAAGTCAAGGGTCGAACCCAAAGGAACGGTAATGTTCAAGCGCTCTCAATTATGCGCCTAAGCTAGGTCGAAGTCTAAGGATAAAAGGTAAACACTATAATCAACTAACAAAATGAAGAACCAAACAAATAAACACTAGGAACGAGGATCAACAAGTTATCATGACAATTATAGCAACTCGGGAACAATATGCACATCAATGGTTGTGAAGACTAATGGCAAGCTCAATCAAAAGAGTCAACAAGCTATCTCCTAGAGGTCAAACTAGCATCAACTACGAGAGACTCTAACTAGGAGCATCACCAATCAAGCTCAATCGACAATTGCAATTCCTAAATCAATGGTCCGTATCATTAGAAACTACAATGAAATCTAGCATGATTCTCAAGGCCTAATCGAATTACACACATGCAAACTTCCATTAATCACGCACTTTAATCTCAACAATTAATAATCAACACAATCCCCAAATTAAGCACAATCAATCAATCATACGAGTTTCACCCAATTCCTAGCAAACAACTACACTAACATCATCATCTAATCACAAACAACTAAAGAAATCAACAATCTATGAAGAACAATTACACTAATCAACAATCAAACATCAAAATCAAACCAAACAAATATGAAATCAAACAAAACAATAAAATGAGATAGAGTTAAGAATGTTCATTGATAATAGAGAAGATCTTCAACACAATTGTCACCATTGAATCTTCAATCTCTCAATCACCATTGAAATTCCTCACTTTCTCTCTCTAAAATCTACTCCTAAACTAACCCTAGAACAAGAGAGAAAAGCTCTCAACTAAATTAAGATTATGATCAAAAACTAGAATAATACTTCTCTAAACTCCCTTCAAAAATCGGGTTACAAAGGTATATATAGGAGGCGCGAACAAAAACCGAGCAAGGAAGTACCAAGAGAGGCGCGGCTGCACGAGCAGGGGTGGCGCGCCCGCGTATAGGGTATGCGCGCCCGCGCCCGTGCTTTGCTCGCCCGCGTAATTCTAGGTTTGTTCGATCTTCTCGTGGCTTTGTGCGTTCGCTAAGGTCGCACGATTATGATGATGATTAACACTAAAGTAGGAAGTCCCTAAACACCATGATTGTGGGTTCAACACCCCATCTTCATGAGAGCACGGCTTGAGAGCACAAGAGCTATAACTTGGAGAATCAACTTCCTTGCATCTTGAGCTTTCCAATTGCCATGAGCTTGCTCCAAAAGCATCTCCACTTTAGTAATTTACCAATATCAAGACCCGAACCTCGTACAATACCTAGAACCACGAAAATAGAGCAAATAAAGGAGAAAAGAGTAGAAAAACCAACAAAATGCATAAAAGCTACTCCCTCCGTCCCTAAATTACATTCCTCTTTCTAGCATTTATTCCTCACATAATAGAGGGAAAGAGGAATGTAATTTAGGGACGGAGGGAGTACAAGATAAGAGAGGAAAGGTAAACCAAGACCAAATGCATAAAACTAAGTATTTATTAAGCATGAAAGCTATGAAAAGAAGGAGAAAACAACCTAAATGCTCATCAAATGGGTGCCATTTATGACACCCACCAAATACCCCCAAGCTTACCTTTTGCTCGTCCTCGAGCAAAACAAAACCAAGGGAGAAATGATGAGCTTATTCAGACAAACAAAAAGAAGAGAAGAGACAATAATATACACACTAACTTACTTTCGTAGGAATCACGGTCAATTTTAGCAACTAAAGACAAGCCATTTAAATCCCTAGATCGCCCTAGAGGATGAGTGATTCTCTCATAAAGGTTTCTTAAGAGATTAACCTATAACTCTCATAATAATACAAACAAGGCAAATCATGAAAAAGGAAATCAAAGGAAAATAAAAGCAAACACGTGTTCATGAAAGGACTTTTCCAAATGTACAAGCACAAATGAATGCAAATCTTTCTAAACAAGTAAGGGAGTGCACGTTTCAAGATACCCGAGGTTGATTGAAACATAAATATGCATAGGAACTAGAGAAACGCAATCCACTTTCATCCCAAACGGTCTTACCGCGTTCTCCCTACTAGTCTCATATCTTCCCCTAGTGAGCATCTCAAAAGTTCCATGAAGAAACCGGAAAAAGAGATAATTTTGGGCTACTCAACGTCTTGACAATGCATCCCCTTTCCTTTGGCTTTAACTCATAATTCCCTCCCCCGATATATGACTCAACCTCTAGCTCGAAAGGTCTTTCCCAATGGTTGTAACGTAAGGGAAAAAAGGGTGAGGGTAGGCTTAAAATTATAGAATTTGGCGGTATTCCTAATTAGTGAAGCAAAGGGTGATCAAACCTTCTCCACATAACCAAGCAATCGCCAAACAAAAACAAACTAACTCCCCCAAACTTATTCAAAGCTATAACCACAATCATATATACAAAAAGCGTAAACGCTTCTCCCCCAAGCTTAAAGGAAGCATTGTCCTCAATGCTTGAAAAGGGGAAAAGAATCACATCAAATATTTTTGTTTTTTCTTATTTTCACTTTTTTTTTTGTATTTACATTTCTTTCAAAGAAATTGTCCATGCCTCTTTAACTTAGGACGGCTTTTACAATTTTTACATTTGCATTGTCCTTGCCTTTTTTTACTTTGGACGGCTTTTTCTATCATACAATTGCCATTATTCACAAAATATACACAAATCACAAGCTTGCTTACAAATAGAACCAATATCCAACCTTATATACCACAAACTTCCAAAAACATGACCATTTGCTTCACAAATACCAAAAATGGAGCAAAAAGAAACAAAAGGCTCAAAGTTCTAAAGATGTGGCTTGAAAAGAAGGGAAAAGGCTCAAATGGTTAGAAAAAAGGCAAATGTAAACCCAATGAACTAAATAGAAAGAAAATTAACCTAGAAAAGAAAAATTACCACCCCAAAAAGATGTCTTTGTCTTCCCTAGATGGCTCGGTCTCGTGTTTGAGAATTATAAGTCAAGATTCTAGATTAGGTCCGCAATAGTCAAGGATCCATGCCGCTCATGCAATTATATGTTGAAGGCTTGAAAAATAATGAACCTCACATGGATGTAGCACAAACTCACTATTGGTGTCAATTCGACTAAAGGAAGCAACTACCAACATGCCACAAACAAGTAGAATCCGGTTTCATGGTCCCACTAGTTCTAACCAACTACCTTAGCATATTTTATCCTAGAATCAACCAAACGTACTCTCAAACCGTGCACACCGTTACCATTTAAGAAGAAAAGAATTCAATTATACAAGTCTAAAAGTATTATGTCCAAAGTAAGAACAAAACAAAGATACATTGCAAATTTGCCTTGATAGAAACAAAAATCTTTTTGGAGTTTTTCAAAATATAAGAACATGGAAAAACATATACAAATGTGCATAGCATATGTGAATCAACATCCCATCAAACATGATAGAATACCCTCCCCCAAGCTTGAATGAGACAATACTCTCAAACATAAATCATAGAAACCATAGGAGGGGAAAACAAGGAGAGCAATCCAACAAACCAACATATGTCCAACAAGTCATCATCCACTTGAGAAAGAGCAAGGAAGGATATTACCGGATAATAGGTGGGTGTAAATACCTGAAAATGACCCAATTAAACCTTTCAAATCTAATTTCCTCAAGAATTAAACCTTGTTTCCATATGCTAGCAAAAATAGGAGTCAACCTTCCTTGATTCTTGATCCAAATAGATGCACCAAAGTATATCAAGTCATGTACCTAGAAAAATGCACACAAACATTTCCATGAGAGAAAATCTATTCTAAAAAGAAAAGAAAATGAAAGCAATAAAACACGGGTTACTTCCCGAGAAAGGCTTGCTTAAGGTTCAAGCTTGACCGCTCTAGAAAATAATAATTCAACGCACGCAAGAGCTTGTCAAATGCACTACTACACATTTCATAAGAGAGAAGGTCGGCAAATGACGCGAAAAGGACGTGCAACAAGATTGTTGCACGCAAGTGAGAAGGGAGGTGCCAAAAGAAAGAAAAAGAGGGATCAAAAGGAAAAACAAGAAAAAGAAGAAGAAGAAGAAGAAGAAGAAGAAGAAGAAGAAGAAGAAGAAGAAGAAGAAGAAGAAGAAGAAGAAGAAGAAGAAGAAGAAGAAGAAGAAGAAGAAGAAGAAGAAGAAGAATAAGGGGGAATAAAAAAAACGGAAAGAAAAAGTAAAAGGCAAATCCTCCTCACTAAAATATTTTTGGGTGGCAACATCACCCTTTCCCTTAACAATAGACGAATGAGGGACATTAAGATCATCATAGACAAGGGGGTCTCCAATAGGCTCATTGAGATAGGAAGGGAGAAAAATAGGGCAATAAGGGATGTGGTCAAACCTTTAAGAAAAAGGGGTATGAGAAATAGGCAAAGGGGTAGCTACTCCCTCAACACAAGGTCTCACATTGCCAATGAGGGCATGAAAATCAATCATAGAGTCCTCAAATGAAGATCTCTCACAATCTACATCTCCCTCAAGCTCAAAAACTCCAAAGGAATCAACTTCATCCTCCTTTGCACCACAATAAACCACCTTTCCTTCAACTATCTCAAAACCTAAGTCCTCAAAACCGCGCATGGGTGGAGGTAGAGTCATCGTAAACTCATCTAAATCCCAATAAGCTTTCTTAGAATCTATAAATCTTCATATGACTCTCACAAAACAAATGGGACATTACCTCAAAAGAGTCTATGTATTCATAGATTGAAGGCTCACAAACATACACTTGAGGCTCATCAAGATGGGAAAGAGGGTTAGGATTTTCAAATTCAACTTTCTCTTCATTCTCAACTCCTTCACCATCACTCATATGCTCACCAATTGGATCCTCACACTCTCTTGGTTGCTCAAATTTAACATCATCACCCTCAACACACACATTGGATAAAAAATTTTCACGAACAAGCATTAAGGATGACAATTGGCTTTCTAGCTCTTTACCTCTCTTTCTTCCCTCCTCAAGATGCTCCACACTCTTTTTCATCACCTCCAATTGACTTCTCAAAGAATTAAGAATTGACTCCTTTTTAGGCCCAAGATCATCACTAAGTTCAATATGTCTAATTTGAGTTTCCAAAGTAGCAATAAGAGATTCAAAAGGTGTGGAAGGTTGAGGCTCAACAAGAGAGGAAGAGGTACAACCAAGATTGGAAGAATCAACATTAAGATCATGAGCATATACATCACATTGGGGAGTGGGGGCACAATCAATAACATGAGATTCATCATTAAGGGAACGAAGCACATCACAAGAAGGCAAGGTAAATAATGAAGAATATTGAAACACACCATTAGCATCAACTTGAGCATGCACCTCATCATCATGAACAAAAGGGGAAATAGAATCGGAAGCACATGTTCTAGGTTCACTCATGGGATCAATTGACAATTCATGGGAATTCATGCTAATATAAGAAGAAGCAAGACATTGGACATCAATATTAGAATCATGAATTCCCCAATTATAAACATCCCTAGCAAACCAAACATAAAAATCCAAAGCATCATCAATTGACAATGCTATAAATCTACCATTATGCATGCATTCAACTTTATTCCTAGTTTGTTCATTTAAACCAAAATAACAAATCTCACAAGCCTCCCAAAGACTACAACGATTATAGTAAAGAAATCCCTTAAGTCTATTGAAATATTCACAAAAAGGTTCATCATCATATTGAGGAAACAAGAGACATGCCTTTTTTTCACAAAGCAAACAAAAATAAAATAAAAGAAAAGTATATACACAGACCTAGACTCAAGCAATCAAAAACACTCAAACATAGACACCGTTCCCCGGCAACGGCGCCATTTTGACGAGGGGTGGAACTAGGTCGTTGAATCTAATCCTCCCTCGGTCAAACTAAATTTATAAACACTTAACAAACCTATATACAAGTATAGAGGCAAGTCAAGGGTCGAACCCAAAGGAACGGTAATGTTCAAGCGCTCTCAATTATGCGCCTAAGCTAGGTCGAAGTCTAAGGATAAAAGGTAAACATTATAATCAACTAAAAAATGAAGAACCAAACAAATAAACACTAGGAACGAGGATCAAAAAGTAATCATGACAATTGTAGCAACTCGGGAACAATATGCAAATCAATGGTTGTGAAGACTAATGGCAAGCTCAATCAAAAGAGTCAACAAGCTATCTCCTAGAGGTCAAACTAGCGTCAACTACGAGAGACTCTAACTAGGAGCATCACCAATCAAGCTCAATCGACAATTGCAATTCCTAAATCAATGGTCCGTATCATTAGAAACTACAATGCAATCTAGCATGATTCTCAAGGCCTAATCGAATTACACACATGCGAACTTCCATTAATCACTTTAATCTCAACAATTAATCAACACAATCCCCAAATTAAGCACAATCAATCAATCATACGAGTTTCACCCAATTCCTAGCAAACAACTACACTAACATCATCATCTAATCAACAAACAACTAAAGAAATCAAGAATCAACAATCTATGAAGAACAATTACACAAATCAATAATCAAACATCAAAATCAAACCAAACAAATATGAAATCAAACAAAACAATAAATGAGATAGAGTTAAGAATGCTCATTGATAATAGAGAAGATCTTTAACACTATTGTCACCATTGAATCGTCAATCTCTCAATCACCATTGAAATTCCTCACTTTCTCTCTCTAAAATCTACTCCTAAACTAACCCTAGAATTAGAGAGAGAAGCTCTCAACTAAGCTAAGATTATGATTAAAAACTAGAATAATACTTCTCTAAATTCCCTTCAAAAATCGGGTTACAAAGGTATATATAGGAGGCGCGAACAAAAACCGAGCAAGAAATTAACCAAAGAGGCGCGGTCGTGCGAGCAAGGATGGCGCGCCCGCACAGGAAGGTGGCGCGCCCACGCCCATGCTTTGCGCGCCCACGCACAGGGGCTGCGCGCCCTCGCAGGAAGGTGGCGCGCCCGCGCCCGTGCTTTGCGCGCCCGTGTGATTTTGGGTTTCTTCGATCTTCTCGCGGCTTCGTGCGTTCGCTAAGGTCGCACGATTATGATGATGATGAACAGTAAAGTAGGCAGTACCTAAACACCATGATCGTGGGTTCAACACCCCATCTTCATGCTATTTCCTTGCATCTTGAGCTTTCCAATTGCCATGAGCTTGCTCCAAAAGCATCTCCCACCTTAGTAATTCACCAATATCAAGACCCGAACCTCGTACAATACCTACAACCACGAAAATAGAGCAAATAAAGGAGAAAAGAGTAGAAAACCCAACAAAATTCATAAAAGCTACAAGATAAGAGAGGAAAGGTAAAACCAAGACCAAATGCATAAAACTAAGCATTTATTAAGCATGAAAGCTATGAAAAGAAGGAGAAAACAACCTAAATGCTCATCAAATGGGTGCCATTTATGACACCCATCAAATACCCCCAAGCCCCTTTTTCTCGTCCTCGAGCAAAACAAAACCAAGGGAGAAATGATAGATGAGCTTATTCAAACAAACAAAAAGAAGAGAAGAGACAAGAATATACACTAACTCACTTTCGTAGGAATCACGGTCAATTTTAGCAACTAAAGACAAGCCATTTAAACCCCTAGATCTCCCTAGAGGACAAGTGATGCTCTCGTAAAGGTTTCCTAAGAGATTAACCTATAACTCTCGTAATAATACAAACAAGGCAAAGCATGAAAAAAGAAATAATTAAATATGAAAATAGAGAAAAATTACCCAACCAAAAGCTAGAAAAAAAAATTGTTAGTTGAGGTGAACACTACAAGAAGAGAGATGAATTGTATGTGAGTTCTTAATGACTACTTTTGCATAATTAAAACTGAATATAAAAGGAACTTAGCAAAGCACACATGATTTTACGAGAAAACCTTCCAGGGCCCAATTGGAAGTAAAACATCGACCCTCCTAGGGATTTCACACACCAACTCTGTAACACCCCAAAATCTCTCTCTACGGAAATACTAGTATACTACGTATAATTATGCCGTAGAGATAGACTTGGGCGTATTACCGCCGCGTGATTACGCAAGGCTACTCAAAGTACTTAACTCAACAACAAAACTTGCAGCGGAAACTCAATTTTCTTTTATTAATACTTATAAAAATAGTAACATTGTTATGAGTGCTCAAAAATAAAGACAAGACCAACATTCCTAAACTAGGTGAAGAAAATCTTTGGACTCCCATATGCTCATTCATGACTCCACCTGAAAATAGTCAACACTGCTTACCATTACGGTAAACAGGGCGAACCAAAATAAATAAGAAATACGGATTAGCAAAATATGCTAAGTACGATAAGTGCAAGATAGTGTAAACTCAATTTATTTGCAAACATGCTTTTAAAACCAATTCCGATAATTAATCCAATAAATTCAAAACTCATTATTTCAAAACTGATTCTAATGATTCAATATTCAAAATAATAGTTAATAAAATCAATTCCTTTATTAAGAACCAATTCCTTTTAATCCAATTCCTCACCCAAGTGTGCACACCCCCCAAGCTAATCTCCTTATATTACAAGGCTATTCTTGAGGAAAGACCCGGTCATACAAAGTCCAAGGCCTTATCAATAAACCAAATCCGCATAATGGGATTACTAACATTCTTATAAAACATTAATAATAATAATTCAATGGTTCAATAAATCCTTTTAAAATCCAATAGTTCCCAATATTATTTAAACACGATAAGTAATCCAAATCATTCAAAACATGATTTAAAAATCAATCATTCAAATACTTTTAATAAAATAAATACCTTCAAACATAGTTTATTTCAAAATCAATTTAATTCAATCACCAATCAAATCATGTAAAACATGTTATTCAAACCAATTACTTTAAAAGGTATCTAGCCACCTAAACGTACCTTGTTCCTTGCTAGAAAACCACACAAAAAGAACCTCAATAACCTTGATTGAACACATCCTACAAATAAATATAACCTTAATCAATATAAGGTTAACAAATAATTAAAAACCCCTAACTATATGTACATGAACATTTTAAATTAATTTCTCATCAACATCATTAAAAATCTGATTTTATATAAATAAAACTACTCATAATAATTATTTATAAATCTCCCATAATAATAATAATAATTGAATAAGAGAAGAGAATAAAAAAAGGTAAGAAACCAAGGAAAAGAGAAGAATTGGATTTGCGTTGGAAAGAATAGACAGAACTTTCAGAGGCTATAACTCCTTCTATATAACACCAAATTGGGTGATTCTTGAGCCTAACCTTAAGGATTTTTCGATAGGAACATTCTTTTGTGAACGTCAATACCCTAAACACTGACCAAAAGTGCTCGAAAATTGGCTTCAAAGATAAACAAGATGATTTGTGTAAAAAGAGGAGAAGAAAAGTAGAGAATTGGTGTGAATAAGTGGGAAGAATTAAGGGTCTATTTACAGTGTTGAGGGTGTAGAAAGGATAGAGCTTAAGGTGTGATATGATTACTAGAAAATGTGATAAGTTTTTGGGGTTGTTAAGGTACTTGAATCAAATCAAGTCTAGATTAATAGTTGGGTTAAAAGATAAGAAAATTTAAATGGATATACATATGTAGGAATGGCAATGGATTGGATTCGGGTCGGATGTGGCTAAATCTGAATTCGATCCGTTTAGTAAACGGACCCTGGACTCGGATCCAAATCCGAGTCCAAATCCGAAAAATCCGAGTCCGAATCCGATCCGACTCGTAATTTTTGGATCCGAATCCGGTCCATTTATACGGACCTCCGATATGATCCGAATATTTTTTTTTTATTTTTATTTTTTGAAATGCCATATACCTATAGTTACTTGTATTGTCATACCAATTAAATTATAAACATAACATATTTAAATTATAAACTAAGTTACATAACAAATGGTTTCTATAAAACAAGCAAATAATTGTCCCAAATTATAAAGCATATGCTTATACTCTCAGATAGGACTCGGATCGGACTCCGTCGGACTTTGCGTAGGGTCCAAGTCCGATCCACCTCCTATTCAGATTCGGATCTATTTTATCGGATTCGGATTTGAACTAATTTTAAACGGATTCGAATCGGATTTTTTTTTTCCTTTGGATCGGATCGGATTCGAATCGAACTCGGATTAAATTGCCATCCCTATACATATGGTTGGGAAAAGAAAGATAGGAACAAAATGAGATAATGAAGGAAGAGAATCAGAGTTTGATTTAAAATATAATAATTAACAAACTAAAGTGATAACAATCACTCTTCAAAACATGATCAAATCACGTTTCACAATTTTTTTTTATTATTTTTTTTAATATAAAAACGAAAATAATAATAAAATAATTGAATAAATAAATATTTTAGATAATATAACATTAGTTAAATACAGAATGTATATTAGATATTTCTCTTGAAATAGTTAGTATAATAAAATATGGACCAACCTTAAAAAAGATAATTAAACCTATATTATTAATTTAGAAATCCAAAAATAATTAATTATTCAAATGATTAAATACTTATATTTGGCGCCAAATTTAAATATTATTTTGGCTCCAATTAATGAATTTACTAAAATAATAATTCTTAATTAATTAATTTTAAAATATTTATGAAAATACGGGGTATTACAAACTCAATCCACTATAATTAGCCAAAACAATATAATCCTAGTTACAACCTATTATAATTCAGAATTTTCTCACAAGTTCCTATCTAAACCTGTTACTCGATAGGACCCTATCCTACCCAATCCAATTCCCTAACTTAGATTCACTCGGCACTCCCTGAATGCTCACACTCAGCTTCAATCTTGAAGCCTATAATTTGTATGCAATATGCTTAACACTCACCCAAACCAAAAACAATACAAACTCTTTAACTCTAATATGTGACTAGAAAGCTACACATGGAATCCGAAACTAATATGACAAAGTTTAGACTTCGCAAACTTACACTTTAGAGCTCTTTTCAGATTCTTCATGCATAAACTAACAAAGTTGTGCAAATTATGAATTCTACTTTATATACAAGAAGTACTCGTATGCAAAGTAGGGTTTTCAAAAGATAGAAATTATAAAACTACTATTTTTATAATAACACGTTTTATGTAAATCTTTTGAGAAGAAAATCTTTTCAGGAAACTTATCAAAGATATAATTTATGAAAATAATATCATTTTGTATAGCCAGATTTTATAAAATAAAATCTTTCAAAAATCTTTCATAAATTAAAAACTTATCTTTTAAAAACTTTCCATTTATAAAGTTTGTCATGCTTTGTCACGCTTCTAATAAATTCCATACATAAACTTTCCTAACATATTTACAACAATCCTTAGAAAATAAACATAACATAAATTTATACTGTTTAGCTGGATTGCTTCATCAATCGTTGTACGTTAAGGATACTCGGGCTTCACGCAGACCAGGATCAAGTTCCCGTTGTCCTTCACTCTTCAGCTCCTTGCTAGAACTTCGTAGGTCAAGTTCTTATAGAACTTGCTGCCTTCTACGCAGACTAAGTCAATCTTCTCAACTTGCTGTCAAGATCCTGTTAGGGAACTTCTCTTAGTGTTTCTGTTAAGGAACTTAATTAGTTCCATTTCTACTTTCTTTACTTTATTTCCTTAAGATCTCACTTCCACTTTCAAAGTCAACTTCACTTGTTCTAATCACAACACTTAGAGAAAATCATTAGTTGAAGTTTGCTTTTATTCATCATTATCAAAACTTCAACAAAATTAAATCAAATGCAACATTTGCATATTGTAGGTGGTACAATCCACTTTTTCTTAACCAATTAAAAAAAAAGAAATTTTTTTTGTTATATAAATTTAATTCAAAAACTCACCTACTTCCCCCTTCGTGACATAAACACAGTTGTATCGTTTGTATTAGAAAATTGCATAAACATAGCATAGTAAAGTTTGAAGAAAAAACAAAGGTGATTCTCCAAAGACGCTTGAAAAGACTTACTATTTATATATTTTTTTTCTTTTACTATTATTCAAATTTTAGCATTTTCATAGAAATAGATCCTTCATCAAAAACATCTTTTCTTATATATTTCCTCCGTTTCTTTTTAGTTGACACGTTTTTTTAGTCACGTTTGCCAATGCACAAATCAAATCATTAATATCTTTAATATGCAAATGCAACATTTGCATATTGTAGGTGTGTGAATAGTGCTAAAGTCAAAGCGTGTCAACTAATAAAAAACGAAGGTAGTATAATTTAAGAGATACTTTTCCAACTTAATCACAGCACTCAAAACTCCTCATCCTCAATTTCTATTAATTTTACTTTTTATAATAATAAATAAAAGTAAAAAAACCTATCATTTTCCATTTAAACTTCTTATACTATAACTTCCACTAAAATAAATTCAGTAACTTCCACTATCATATTTACAAAAATAAATTAATACATCCCGTCCCCACAATTAACAAAGTCGTTTTAACGATAACCCTCCAAAACCCCAATGTTAAACTCTCATGCATTTAGGTTTTTTTTTTTTTTTAATTATTTTTTTTAATCTTTTAAACAACAATAACTACCCATCCCACAATTTTTTTTTAACTTAAAAAAAAAAAAATCAATAACTACCCATCTCACATTTTTTTTTTTTATTTTTTTTTTGTATTTTTCGGATGGACTACTACTAACATTTTTTTTAAACACTACATACAAACATTCTACTTTGTGTGTGTGTTTTTTTTTGTATCTATACCATGCATTTGTACGGGTATACAGTTCCTTTATCAACAATTCACCATAGCACTCAAAATTCCCAACATTTCAATTATATGCATTTTTTAGGGACTACCCTCTAAACAACTTCCACTTCTCTAATCATTGAAACAAAAAAAAAAAATGCATAGCATATTTTTTTCTCAACTGACCTCTCATCGAATAACTACTTACAAAATAACAAAGTAACTCCTAGAGCACTGATGGAATAACCCCTATAACACTAACCGAGTAGCTCCTATAACACTGAACGGTTAACCACTATATATATATAGCTTTGACAAAGTAAACCACAAAATAGCTGGCCACATTGTGTGGCCACCGACATATAAAAGTTACACTATGTTCTTTGAGCTTCTTAGCACAACGAAGAACATTAGATTTCAGCAGAGCAGGTGTCAGCAGGGTAGAACAAGTGTTAGTAGATTATTAATACACCCTAACTTATATAATTCAAAAGTACTTTTCCAACTTTTAGCCACATCACCCTAAATTCTTAATCCTCAATTTCTGTATATTCGCGTTCGTTTGGCATCATTGTGTATTTCTGTTTTTTGGTTTTTTATTTTTTAAAATCATATGATAGCATGTAATGAATCAAAAATTAGTCAAACTTATTAAAATCATTATAATTTTGGAAAATGAAAACAAAAAACAGTGTCAAACAAGCCTTCACTTTTTATTTTTTAATTTTCTTAAAGAAAAAAAACTAAGTTGTATTAAATTTCATTATAACTTCCAATAACAAACTACTAGCAACAAATTTAAGGGGACAAAAAAAAACATAACACAAGAAAATGAGAAAATAGAGAAGAGCGGGAGTAGAAAATAGAAAAAAATCTGGAGTATTCTAGTATCATCTTCCTCAACTACAAAGCTTGGAATCTGCCTTCATAATCTACTCTTTCTCCCATTTACCTTTCTTTCTTCTCTTCACTTGTTGCTCTTCAAGGTATGCATTGCTTCAATTTCCCTATTAATTTCCGTTTATTCTTACACTTTGATTTCGAATTTTGTGATTTCTTATCTTTAATTTCATACCCTTTTAGATTTTGGCAACAATTTATGATGATTCATTACAATTATGCTTTCTGATTACAATTGGTATAACCTAGTAATTTCTTTTTGTTTTGTTTACCAATTTTAATTTTAACCCAAAATTTGAAACAAATTTGAATAATTGAATTGTGCAGTTGCCTGTTTAATCTTTTGTTATTGATAATTGTATATATTGGCTTCATTGGGTTCAATTTTGTTGAATTATTCAATATATGATTTTGTTTATTATTTTAATTATTATTTTTAAATAATTCGTCAAATATTTGTTTAGGTGTATCATATTCAAGAAAAATTCTTGCAAATTTCTTTCCTGTTTTGGGGGGTGGTACGCAGAGGCGGTCGGCTCGGTGGGAGCGAGGGTTTAGTTTGTATATTCTGGGGTTGGGGGTGGGGGGGGGGGGGGCAGTGGGACATATTGATTTGCATTGGTTTGTATATGATCTGGTTATTGTTGTTGTATAGTGGTGGTTATACTTGATGCATTTGGTACTCGAATTGATGCATGTATGTTACGATAAGACGATAAATGTTCGTTATGCATAATCTTCGGTAAATTGGATATTGACATTCAGCTTTCGTTACGTAGGGTTTTAAATTGATTGTTGGTAAGTGAAAAGGAGGAAACCTTGATCAGTTTCATTTCAAGCAAGTTGTCTATAGAAGCTTAAATTGAAAGATGGATATTGGTGGAAGAAGGGTTTCGAGGGGTATGCTGCCTTTATTGGCTTTGCATACCGTGAGCGAGTATTACAGGCTTCAGCGAAAACCTCCTGTGACTGCTGGATTGTTGGCTGCTAATACTCTCATCTATCTAAGGCCTGCTTTTCTGGAGTCTATCCTCCCCCATATCAATGAGGTTTGGTTCAATGCGCATCTAATCCTTAAGGTACTCTGTTTCACCTGATTAATAAGCTTTTTTTTTTTTTTTTCCTTCATATATTGTTGTTTATCACACGACCCTTCGCACCCATGATAATCTTTTAACTGTTCTCATTGTTAGTTCATCCTAACTTTTGCAGCTTACATTTATATGAGTTGCTGCATGGTTTTTATCTTGCTGTTTCTCAACTTTCAAGCTCAAAATACTATTGTCTCTAGCTTTTTAGAACTTGTATGTGGTTCTTGTTGGAGAAATTAAATAAATTAACTGAGTGGTATGGAAAAGTAAACACAAAATTTTTCTGCACCGCTGCCTTGCTTTATTTTTTCTGACATAAAACTGACATGGGTTTTTGAGTGTGGATTTATTGACATATATATGTCCATAATTACTATGATCATGGGATTTATGGCCAGGGGAAAGGAATTGCTATCATTTAAATAGCAGATGCTTGCCTCTAAAAACTTGTGTACAATAACAAAGCTTTAGTCTCAAAGTGATTACTTGAATCATCATAAGGATCCATTAAGAAAAGTAAAACAAGAAGTATAAATATTCAACAACTTGTATACTTCCTCCGTTTCTTTTTAGTTGCTACATTTTCCTAGTTTAGAAATTTTTAATTAGTTGCAACACTTTCCATTTTTAACATTCTTTTTTCTTTCTCTCTCTCCTACCCACACGGGTCCATTTTATTTTTCTTTCCATCTTTCTCCTCTTAGAAAACTGTCTAGGAGACCGTGAAAATAAAAGTGTAGCAACTAAAAAAAAACAGAGGAAGTTATAAAAATAAATTGACCAACAAGTTGATTCTAAAACTAATCAGGATACAGAATTCAAAAGTGCCTTTTAGTGCTTATCTATCTTTTAACTATTAGGATAGTGGGTTGTTAACTTGTTACCATGACTGGTATTAGTGGGCACTCCCCATGTTAAAGTAGGTTGAATCTTGAATCCTCATGAAACTATGGGAGCCATAACCATAACTTAGTTAGTTAGTTGTTGCATGTCCCTTACTACCTCTAGTAGGTGGTTGTCAAGTGATGGTGTGAGGTTGTTTCTGCCACTAAGAAGGGAAAATGATTATGACACTGTAGGATAGAAATCATGATGCCTGTCCCAAGTTTCTCCTTTGCTTGTTTTCATGCCCATGCCTAGGTAGAGGGATACCGACTTGTGCATCCAATTTGAATGTTGATCATTGAAGGTTGATGATTTTAAAGGAATTCTTTGTCAGCTGTATTATTGGGTTTTTGTTAATTGGTTAGTATCGTTACCACCTTCATTTTAAGCCTTGTTGATGATTTGGTTTGCTTTCGCTAAAGTTAAGTAATGATATGATGACAGTGGAATACGATGTAGTGTCCACACCAAACAAAAAAAAAAAAAAAAAAAAAAAAAAAAAAAAAAAAAAAAAACACTTAGCTGCTGGTATTGTCCTTCTTGCTGCAGCTGCTGTTCATCTTTTCTGTTCTTAGTGCTGCAGCTTAATACTTCATTAAGGCTCTAGATTGTCAACAATGATCTAATTTAGATACTGTTGCTTAGAACCTGTTTCACAGGATAGCTGCTTTAAACTCCTTTTTCATCTTTTTGATTTGCACCATTTTTTTTTTTTTTTTTTTTTTACCATTTTTTTTTTTTTTTATTTATTTTTTTTTATACTTATATATATATAATTTTGTTTAAATACTGGATTTATTGTCTAGACTACGCAGTAGGGTGTCAGGATTGGTAGATTTGTTACTCCCTGTTTAAGGTAATTGGGAATCTGAATGTTTATTGCAGTGTTGAAGGTAGAAGATGGTTTTGTATTCGAGACTTGGGAGATGGGTGTCTCTCCTTAATTTGAATGTTGCTTAGGGGTATTTGTGGGAATTGGTTGTGGCATTACTTTTTTAGTTGAGTTCCTTTGACAAATTGTCATTCAGAGCAACCATAGGTTATGCAAAAATGGGTGATCTATGATGGTGCATTTTTGTCTATGGAAGCTCATTTTTTAGGTCTCCTTTATGTTCTTTGACTTCTTTATTTTGGTCGGGTTTAAAATAGGGAATGGTCAATATCTTTGGTTTTTTGTAAGGATGTTTTTTTTTGGGCGGGGAGGGGGGGGGTCTCCCACTTTTGTTCCACCTTTGCACATATCAATACATCATGATGCCCTCGTGTTTGCTTGCTTTCCATGTTGGGAACACTTAGGATCTGCTGCGAAGGTCTTGCATTTGTAGTACGATAGAGGGGTTTATTTTCATATTTAAGGTTCTGGCTCTTGGTTTATCTCATGCAAAGGTTTTATGGTATTACGAGTTAGGTAGATGATTAGTTAGGGACCAATTCATGCTAGTATGTCTTACCCATCTTTGCTAGTCTGCTACTTCCATTTTATAGTAGCCTTTTTTTTTTAATTTTTTTGTTTTTTTTTGGATGGCTTATCTTTGCTTAAGGTGAGAGATTTTATATGCATATTAGCATTTCCACGAATTAGTAACATTTAGTTTTAGGAAAATTTTGGGGTATGCCAAAATTCTACTTTGATGACCTGTTTTATGCTTATAAATTATTTTGGCATTTAAATTTATTTCATTGAACACGAAAGATGTTGGAATTCCTTGAATCTGATGCAAGCTACTCAGCATGGGGGATTAACTTATTTTCGTCCTAGTCCATTCTGTTTCGGGGAGTACAACAATAATTTTCCTTCCTTTTGGCTTCTGGATGTTTTTTTTTCATTGTCTTTGGAGTAGATATCTTATCTGCATGGGAACTCCTGAGTCCTGACCAGTATTAAAGTAGTGATTTGGCTTAGTAATACTCTCTTCTCCCAAAATTTCAGGTCTTCAAGCCTATAGATTCCCATCCTCCCAACTTGAATTTGTCAAAACTTATAAATATTGTTGCTGCTGAGAAATTCATTTTTCGGCAGCAACTTGATGTTAAAGGGATATATCTTTTATCTTCTTATGTAAATGCATGCAAAGGACGACTACTCATTGGATACAGCTTCCAGTTCTGTTTTTCTTTTCTTTTTATTTTGGCTTGCCAAGATGTGTGCTTTCATATTTGCTTGAGCAGAACATCCATTTACACTAGACACGGACTATCTTTAGGCTATCATTTATCTGTTAAGCTACTCACATTATAGTAATGTTTGAAATAACCTTTCTGTTTTCTTCTTTGATTTTTACAGTATAAGGATCTTAAACGATTCTTTTTGTCACCATTTTATCACATGGGTGAATCTCACTTGGTTTACAATATGCTATCCCTACTTTGGAAAGGAATCCAATTGGAGACTTCAATGGGAAGTATTGAATTCGCCACTATGGTTGCTACATTACTCACCATGTCGCAGGGAATAACCTTACTGTTGTCCAAGTCCCTCTTGTTATTTGATTACCAGAAAGCATATTACTCTGAATTTGCAGTGGGATTTTCTGGCGTCCTCTTTGCCATGAAAGTTGTTCTCAATGCCCAGTCAGATGACTACACATTCGTGCATGGCATCCTTGTACCTTCACGTCATGCTGCATGGGCTGAATTGATTCTCATTCAGATGTTTGTACCAGGTGTCTCATTTCTTGGTCATCTTGGTGGGATATTGGCTGGAATTTTTTATCTGCACTTGAAGAGATCATATTCAGGTCCTAACCCTTTGAGATCCATCATTAGAAGTCTGTCTGGTGTAGTTAGTTGGCCCTTGAGATTTTTCCGGGGCTTGATACGGCCGAGAAGGTATTCTGGCAGAGGAGCTGTTGGGAGAGGAGAGAGAAGCAATGTGACTGGAGTATGGAGATGTCCTGCTTGTACATTTGACAATTCAGTTTTGCTGTCTGTGTGCGAAATGTGTGGGACTGGTATAGATGGAAGCGACTTTGCATCAAATATGCAGAATAACCTCTCCCTAGACGAGCTGCGACGCAGGAGGCTTGAAAGATTCAGCTCTAGCAGATAGCATCCTGGTGAGTTGATATTTGATAGCCAACTAGCCTTGGAAGAAATCTTGGATATGGAGTCTTACAAACTAACTACTGAGTACATCTGAAGACAGATCAATTCTGATCCTTTTTGCTTATTGCTTAGTCAACTTTTTAGTTACCCATTAAACGTTTGTACATACGAATATAGAATTGATTTGGTTTATATATGAATGAATATTCTTGAGTGATTTAGCCTTTGTACCACAACCACTAGGGCTGTCATAAGTCAACCTTTTTAGAGGTCATGTGCAATAAGGAGTATAGAATTTGGCCTTTTATTCAAATTACCATTAGAAAAGAAATATTCGCACATATTTTAAAATCATCAATGTTTTGCGAAAATGAGCTTTTAATACTTAAGACTTATTTATTTATTTTTTTAACCAAAAAAAAAAAAACAACTATTTTACCCCACCCTTTAGAGAGCAAATTATAAATTCATGCTGTATTTACCAAAAACGAAATGACAAGTCATTTTTGAAAAAAAAAATGTCAAGGCATTAGTTATGTTGAAATGCACAAGGAATTACGTACGTTAATAGTTGTGAAAAAAGTTTTTTTTTTTTTTTTTTTTTTTGGGAAAATAAGTTGCAATGGGACTTGAATAGTTGGCCATTGTTGTGTATTTAGGACTTCGTAAAAATGTTTAATAAATGCAGTATACATTATTTATTCTCGTATATTTCTTCTAACGCTGCGTTCACTTTACCTTATTTTTGTTGAACTAAAATTATTTTTACTGAAACAAATTATATTTGCTGAACTTAAATTATTTTTACTGATTTTAATTAATTTTACTGAACTGAAATTATTTTTGCTGAATTGAAATTATTTTTACTGATTTACTTTTAAAATTCTTATTTATGAAAACCGAATTTTACTGAACTGAACTTATTTTTACTGAATTGAAATTATTTTTACTGAACTGAACTTAATTTTACTGAATTGAAATTATTTTAACTTAATTATTTTTTTAGGTGAAGTGAACAGGGCTATTTTTGTTGAACTGAAATTATTTTTACTGAAACAAAATTATATTTGCTGAACTTAAATTATTTTTACTGAACATAAATTAATTTTACTGTACTGAAATTATTTTAGCTAAACTGAAATTATTTTTAATGATATTCTATTATAATTCTTCTTTAAAATAACTGAATTTTACTATACTGAACTTATTTTTATAGAAGTGAAGCTATTTTTACTAAATTGAACTTATTTTTAGTTAATTTTTTTTTAAGGCAAAGTGAATAGGGGCCTAAGTTGTTAACTTCTACTTTATCAAAGTAATACTAGTGGATGTCTCATTCAACGACTGAGTTACCTTAGTTTATTAAGATTTTTTTATTTATTTATTTTGTGTCACTTAGGGTCTGTTCACATTTACTGAGCTGAACAGAACTGATTGGAGCTGAATTGAACTGAACTGAACTGAGCTGAGCTGAAATGAATATTTTATGAGAGAAGGAAATTAGGAGTTGAACTGAACTGATTAGAGCTGAACTAAACTAAACATAATTAATTGGAGCTGAGCTGAACTGAATTGAACTGAAATTAACTAATGTGAATCGACCCTTACTTTATTATTGAGTGAGTTGGTAACTTTGTCTTCCTACCTACGGGTGGAGGAAGATTAAAGAGACTTTATAGGGGATATTACCTACACAAAAAATGAAAAAATTTCAAAGTAGCAAACTTTAAAGAAAAAATGGAACAATATCTCGAAAATTACATGGAACACAAACTAATTCATATGAGCTCCACATTTTTCAAATACTAGAAACAAAGGCTTATAATCTCTTTGTACTGTTTTTTACCCTATTGTAGAAAATTGGGTCAAAATTTGATTAAAAATATCCATTAATCTATAAGAGATTATATAGTCAAGTGAGGTCTTGTTAAATTTATCTCATTGTATATTTTATTAATACGAAGTTTTTATAGTTTTTACGCGCATAATAATAAGTTATAAATATTATAAGACGCATTTTAGAAACCGTGAAAAGTCAAATAAGGTAAGAAATAGGGGTAGAGAGAGTCAAGAAGTGTTAAAAGTTGACCCGATCAATCTGATATGATCTAACTCGGATCCAAATTAAATTTCGACTTATATAAATACAATAATTAAGCATGAGTCAACTTTAAAATACACTCAACCCGATTTTACAAATTCCAACCTTAATACTCGAATTAACACCTCTATCAGGTGTTTTCTCTGATGTAAGAGAATGTAGGGTAGGTGTGATAAATGATTGATTCTCTCCCAAAAATGGGGGATATCTCCCTATTTATAGGGTCATTGGGAAAGGTGCCCTCTCTTAGGTCATTTGACCTAGATTTGGTGGGCCGCGCCGTTTTGCGGCGTTCTAGGGAATTGGGCCTAGAAGGCCGCAATACTGGAGGGTATATGAGGCTGACACGTGTCAGCTAATAATTGGCCCAAGTGGACCTGTCCAAGCTTGACACGTGACCCTCTCTGATTGGTCCACATGGATAGGGTATTTTTACCCAAAACATTGTTGGATTCGTCTCATTGTATATGTTATTAATATCAAATTTTTATAATTTTTACGCGTATAATAATAAGTTATAAATGTTATAAGACGCGTCTTGAAAATCGTGAAAAGTCATTTGAGGCAAGAAATAGGGACAGAGGGGATATAACATGTTCTAAACACCAAAAACCTACTAACATTGAGGGCCTGTTCATATTTACTTATTTTCAGTTCAGTTCAGTTCAGCTCAGCTCTAATTAGTTCAGCTCAGTTCAGTTCAGTTCAACTCAGTTCAGTTCAGTTCAGTTCAGCTCTAATCAGTTCAGTTTAGTTCAGTTCAGTTCAGCTCAGTTGTTAATTTTTTTGTTTTAGATGTTTTAGCATATTACAACAACGACAATAATAATAATAATAATAATAATAATAATAATAATAATAACAACAACAACAACAACAACAATAATAATAACAATAATAATAATAATAATAAAATAATAAAATAATAATAATAATAATAATAATAATAATAATTTTATTATTATTATTATTATTTTAAATTATATTCGTCGTTCAAAATGGTCACATGTTTTTTTATAGTTGAACTCATTGACAAAATGAGAGTACTACACAACAGTTACTAGCTTTCATAATCGGTTAGTTCTTCGTCTTCTTTTTCTTCTTCATTAAGTTGCTCCATTACCTCGGCATTCCTCTTAATTGACTCCCATATCTGATCAGTTATTTGGTTTCGTACAATATCCATAGCTGCTTTTCTGTTATTATCGTACATAGTATGATCTTCTATTGGTCCCATGACTTCAACTTGGTGCGTGAATGGAATCCCTAGTTTATGTAAACGAACAAAATTATGTAGAGTACAACAAGCAACGATTGACTACAGTAAAATATTGAAGAATACTTTTTATTTATATATATATATTTAAAATATAATACACAAAAATTTAATAATTTAAAATACAGAGTTATTTTTAAAACACTTTTATATTTTTCACAATCCACTATATATATTATCATTAATTTTCATAAACATTTTTATATATTTTTATGCATTTTAATTTTTCAGTTCAGTTCAGTTCAGCTCCAATCAGTTCAGTTCAGTTCAGTTCAGCTCCAATCAGTTCAGTTCAGTTCAGCTCAGTTTAGTAAATATGAACAGACCCCTGAGTTATCATTCCTTATAAATAGTCGACCATATCAAGAATTGTTAAAAATTTGACCTGACCAATCCAATTCGATCTAAGTCGAATTCGATTTAAATTTTGATTTATATGAATACAATAATTTAGCATGAGTCAACTTTAAAATACACTTAGGTCATGTTCTGATACGACTATTTTCAGTTCAGCTCTAATAAGTTCAGTTTAGTTCAGCTCTAATAAGTTCAGTTCAGTTCAGCTCTAATAAGTTCAGTTCAGTTTAGCTCAGTTCAGTTTAGTTCAGCTCGGTTCAGCTCCAATAGTCCAGTTCTGTTCAGTTCAGTTCAACTCCTAATTTCCTTCTCTTATAAATATTCATTTCAGTTTAGTTCAATTCAGTTCAGCTCTAATAAGTTCAGTTCAGTTCATTTCAAATCAGTTCAGTTTAAATAAGTTCAGCTCTAATAAGTTCAAATCAGTTCAGTTCAAATCAGTTCAGCTCTAATAAGTTCAGTTTAGTTCAGTTCAGTTCAAATCAGTTCAGCTTAATCCAATTTTACCAAATCCAACCTTAATACCTGAATTAACACCTCTATCATGACTACGCTTTTTCCCGGAACAAGTAGTAGCTCACAGTTACGCCAAGTAATTACCTTTACAGGGTTAGTTCCCACATTTCCCTTTCTTTACTGGCGCGGTGAAATAAGTCAGCACAAAAAGTGAAAAAGCAGTTGAGAAATGAGAAAAAGCCAAAACAAAATTCTACGCATTTAAAATTACATCCCATAAAATCAGTTATCATTCATTCGTAATCGTAGCTCACCTTCTCCCATCTAGTCTTTCTTCTCTCTCATCATTTAAAACTATCTGCTCATCTTCACCTACTCTCTATTATTCACACAAACAATTAATCAATCAACCCAGAATTTCATTTCATTTCAATTCAATATAATTTATTTAATCCAATTAAAATCAAATTAAATAATATAATTCTATAGAATGCCAACTCAACCCCAAGTCAAACACGCTGCTTTAGCTTTACCCCCAATTTTCTGCCGATTTTTCTACTGATTTTACCGAATTAATCCCAAAACTAACAACTGGGTTTTGCTCAAAATCAAATTTTGAGAAATGGGTAATCGATTTATTTGTATGTCTAAGAAAGATACCAAAATTAATGGATCAAAAAGTAGGAGAATGGGTAGTAAGTCTCAGAGAAAGTTGCTTGAAGATGAAGAAGTTGCTTTACATAGAAGAGCTTTATCAATGGCGCTTCATCAACATCAGTTGTCTCAGAGATTTGATCCTGGTTCTATGTCTTCTCGCCGAGTTGGCGGCGCTACTTCTCGCCGCCGCACTCTCTCTGACCCCTTTTCGAACTCCAAACAGGTTCTTTGTTTTTCCTTACCTATTTTTATTTGATTTGATTTGATTTTATGTATTGTTTAGTTTTCGGTTTGTTTTATATATATACGGTCTCAGTCGATATGAGATAAAATCTTAGTTCATGTAGCCGACCCACGAAAAGTAGAATTTATATATAATTGATTATATAGTCAACATACATGAGAAAATTATATTTGATTTAGTCGTTTTTTATTTGTATAATGATGGTATGAATAGAAAGTTTGATTATTATGGTGTTTGAAAAGTGAAGTGGAAAGAAGAAGATTCAATGGTATTTTTTTTGGAACCTAAATCTGGATCTTGTAAAAGCTGGTACAGAATTATGTAACTTTTACTTTATGAATAAATTTATTTATTTTGCCCCTTTTCTGCAGTATAAAAAGTTGATGGTGTAAAGTTGTTAATTATTACCCTATCATGATGTAAAAAAGTTGGAGAGTTTATCATTGTACTTCAAAGAGAATTCGATTTCATATGGTTTCCTTTTCCTTAATACTACGTATATAATACTCAATAAAATACTACAGTATATGTAAAGGAGTAAGTGCACTAGCATCACTCAGTTTATTGTAAATTCCCTTTTTTTTTTTTTTTTTTGAAGGTGGTTATTGAGTAAGCTTTTAGCAAATTGAACTCCCTTTTGTTGCCTTCATCGGTGTTTCATGTTTCTTTGGTGATTTAAAGTTTTAAACCTCTTACCAATGTTACTCGTGTACCAGTTTGGGATAGAGAAGTCGTAGCTCTCAGAGCTGAAAAGATATCACGTCATTTGCATCATCTTGTTAGCTAGATTTTTTTTTTTTTTTTTCTAAAATTTAATAATGATAGTTTACCTATGGAGGTTTAAGAGGTAAATTAAAAGGGCAGTGTATGTTTGTTTATAAGGGTGACCATTTTGTGATGATGTAAAGGCATCATTGATGTGAGAAGGGCACTTTTGGTAGTAGAATTACTAGAATTAAAATTAGTTTTCTATTAGCTTGATGAATAAGATAGGTAGTTTGCACAAGGGAAAACTCTACATGTAGAGCATATTAAAGAGAGAATTATGTGGAAGATTATTGAGAGTTTTGTGTTTGTTTTTGTGACCCTTTGGTAGCTTACAAGTCTCTCGAATACTTATGACTATGAAAATAACCTCTATTATTGGTGTTTTGTAGTAATATATCAATCAAACTTCATCTTCTTCCCTATATCTCAATATTTATCTTTTTAATCTGTTCAAAGCTAAGTTGAAATTTAGCAGAAGCCCATGTGAATGTTCACATTACAACTGAACTTGTGACCCTTAAGTGTAATCTGTGTAAGGATGTCAACCAACTTTGTGGTGTCTTATATAATTTTATCGTAAAAATAAATAGTTTCCCCTTCCCGCGGAGGGTGATCGAATGCAAAGTAATGACGTTATCACAGCTGAGTCTGAATATATTTTTTCTGATGTCTGACAAAGCTGAGTCTAAAGCATGTGGTTCTGTTATCTACACCCATATGCCCCTTTCTTTCGGGTTATCAATGCTCCCTTTCCTATAATTTCTGTAATAAACAATTTTAATGAAAACAGTTCCAGATTTATTTCTTTCGTTGCATTAAAAAAATATAGATAAGAAATCACAGTTATTTGAACCTTGATCTAAGTTATTTTTGGCAATCTTTTTTTATTTTATTTTTCGGTCCTAAACATTATGCAGAATGTAGCTTTCTTACAGTTCTTATCTTCCTCAGGCACCTGACTTTTTAGAAAACCTGAAAGGAACAAGATTTGTTTTAGTACATGGTGAGGGTTTTGGTGCATGGTGTTGGTACAAAACTATTGCTTTGTTGGAAGAATCTGGATTGCTTCCTGTTGCTTTAGATCTCAGTGGATCAGGTATAGATACAAAGGATACAAATTCAATTGCTACTCTGGTAGAATATTCTAAGCCACTGATTACATATATAGAGAACCTGCCAGATGATGAAAAGGTGAGATGCCTTTGATAAAAAGTACTTTTACCTATGTTCGTTATATTATGTGACAAATGTATGGGCCTAACATGTGGGCTTCACTTGTAGGTTATATTGGTTGGTCATGGATGTGGGGGCGCATCTGTTTCGTATGCTATGGAGCAATTCCCGCAGAAAATTTCCAAGGCCATTTTTGTCTGTGCCACAATGGTATCTAGTGGACAAAAGCCCTTTGATGTTTTTTCTGAAGAGGTATCTAGAACATCTCAGCATAATACACCTGTTGAGAATGATAGTTTTTATTCTCTAATTTACTTTAAACTAAAATAAGCATCTAATATGCTAAACTGCATGTAAGTATATACAGATTGCAGCTCTCGTATTAAGCATGTAAAAAGATTTGGGGATGTCGTTAGATGAAGGATTTTCCTTTTGCATGAGTGCATGTCTTGAATGATTATTTTCCATAGTTTAGGAAGAGAATGTCTTCACTATGTGCTTCCATCTTCGTCTATGCTGGATTCTACTCTTCTCTATGATAAAATTCCATTGTAAAAGAGGTTAAAAGTTTCCATTTGGCTAAAAATGTCTATACTGGGCTTCACATATCCTCTGTTAGATCCAAGATAGGTTAAGACTGCTTATTTTCTGGTATGTCAGTGCAAAAGCATTTTTAATAGTTTAATGTACTCAGATGTAATTCCACCTATTAACGTTGTTTTGGTATGTGATATATCTTTCAATTTGCATTTTTTATTTTTTTTTTTATTTTAAGAAAAGTGAGCAGTATTTATCCAATTTGCATGAATTGATAAATTTGTTTCTGCAGCTTGGTCCTTCTGAAGATTTTATGAAGGACTCAAAGTTTTTGATTCATGGAAATGGTACTGATAATCCTCCCACGTCATTCATGTTGGAGAGGCAGCACTTGAAGGCTTTATATTTCAACCAGAGCCCTCTTAAGGTAAGTTCAGCTATTTTAAGTCACACACGCCAACTATAACAATTTACCTGGTGAATATATTAATTACATTAGTGACTTCTGCAAACTTTTGTACATGATGAGTTTGTCCTGTGGTCTATGCCTGGATCCAATTCATCCAATCTGATTACTCGTTTCAAAACCGAAGTTTACCCAAGATTACATGATCTATTTAAGTATATAACTATGAATTGTAATCTCGGATCTGGTCGCAATCGCGGTAATGGTCGAGGATGCAGGCAATATATGAAATGTAGCTGTTGTGGCCTAATATCTTGCTTGCGGTTAGCTAAAGATCATTAATGTGGTGATGCGGCAGAGATTAAATACCAGATTGTGCCCCAAACTAAGTCAATGTGACTAAACGGATTGACAACAAACCCTATTATGATCCATCTCAAATAGCCCTGAAGTGACTGACCCATCTCCCAAACTAATATTTCTACCTCCAAATCTTTCATGTCTGATTGATTGTGATCTGCGGCATCTGCTAGCATGTTGAGAGCTCAAGCCTATCAGAAATTGCACTTGCTTGATTGTTTTTACTTAAAGATAGTATAATACTTCATAATTATAATAGAATCCGTAGGAGTATTAGCGGAATTCAATTTGCATGAGTTCTCTCTCCCTCTCAGTTTGCACATTTGAGATGCTGATGCTGCTTGTACTTATTAAATTCTAAAGGAGAGATTATTATTTCAGGATTTTGCTTTAGCCATGGTCTCCATGAGACCTATCCCTTTGGGACCCATTATGGAGAAGCTCTCATTATCGCCTGAGAAGTATGGTATGGTGAGACGTTTTTTCATTCAAACACTGGAGGATCGTGCACTTTCACCTGATGTCCAAGAAAAACTAGTCAGAGAAAATCCACCTGAGGGAGTCTACAAGATAAAAGGTAGTGATCATTGCCCGTTCTTCTCTAAACCCCAGTCGCTTCACAAAATGTTACTTGAGATTGCCCAAATAGCGTAGTTCAAGATAGCTCCGAAATGGTTGATGATCTGATGGTTTTCTGCTTATTGAATATGATATCATCTGCCATCTGAGATTGAAATTGTACAGGAGAAAGAGAATGGTTGTATACTCTGTGCTACCTCATTTCATTTTGTCATATATACAGGAAAATCTTCGAATTCTTTTGTACACTCTTGTTGCATACTTCATATTAGATAGAAGAAATGCAGGTGTCATGTTTCTTTTAAACGCAAAACTCAATTCGTGTAGAAGTTATATCACCAATGGCATGACATGGAGTTGCTTGCTGTTGCTTTCCATTTCCTGGCTGCAACTTGTACTCATCCGTTGTAATAAACGGAGGAAAATTTTCGTACATCAACCTACAGGAGGGCAGGAAAAGCCAATAGGCAGTAAAGCGTCCGCCTTCTTGCTCCTCTTTTGTGAGTTGTTGAGGAAACGTATACAAGTAACAAGTGTGCGAAAATGGAGGGGGTTGTAGGTAATAACTATTTCCTCCGTTTATATTTAGTTGACGCCTTTGATTTAGGCACATATATTAAGTAGAGGAGAGAGAGTGAGAGAGAATGAAAAAGTAAGTGGGGTAGCTTGTAAATGTAAGGTAAAAAATTTACCCTAAAAGGAAACATGTCAACTAAAAAAAATTCCTAAAAAGGAATACGTGTCAACTAAAAAGAAACAGAAGTAGTTTTAAAAAAAATTGTCATTAAGGTTGTGGTTGAAAACTTTTAAAAAGTATAAGGCTAAAAAAAAAGAAAAAAAAAAAAAAAAGAGAGGCTATCATTAAAAATTTCCCTAATATAATTGCACTCTTGATTCTTGAACTTTTTCAAATTCACTTTCTACCACTTATGTTTAATAGCGATGCATGCATACATACTCTTATGATTAACAAATGTCAACTCCATTTTTACTAACCCCTAATTAACCTAATTAGAGCATAGCAGTTTGTTCCTTCTAGGTTTTCTCCTTGGGAGGGTTTCTCTTGCCTCTTGGTTTCCTTTAGGGTTACTCTTTTGAGATGGTGTTCTTAGCCTCATTGCTAGATTTTTTCCTTTTTATTTTTAATTTTTTATAAAGGTTTTTCTTTTCTTCTTCCTTTTCTCTCCACCAATTCCATCTCTTTTCCTCTTGGTCTCATTTGTGAATCTTTGTGAGGCCTTCTAATGGTATTCTTACCGATGATAAGCCCCAAATTTTTTTTATTTGCTTTCAATAATAATAGACCTCATCCTTGAGATAATTTTTTTTTCTCTTATGATTATTTTCAATTTATCTTTGTATGGCGAGGATTGAAGAATTAGGGTTTCATAATCTCCATAAGAATCTAGAGGATCACATATTTTCACTCAAACGAGTACACTTTAGTTGGATTTCAATCGGAATTAGAGCTAATTTACATATTGTATTGCTCTGGATAAAGTATTTTATTAAGACGATTGTTTTTTTTTCGAGGAAATTATTAAGACGGTTGTTGATCGAATATGTAATGTATTTACTTGTCTTTAAATTATTGATTTCTTAGAAATTATATGTAAGAGTCGTTTGGCTATATTTTATCAATGAATCCTTTTTGTCTTGTAAAATAATAATAATAATAATAATAATAAATAATAAAAAATAATAATAAAAAAAAAATAGCCATTCAAAGCCCATTAGAAGGATGATCATCATATTTTATTATCCAACTATTTTTAACCCGGGCGATGCCCTAGATCATTATGAATTATTTAAATTAAATTTTAATAATAATTAAGTGAAATATTAAAATAGATTAGTTATATTTTATTTTTGAAATTGATTAATTATTTTTATAATATTACTTGTATTCCAAACATAATTGAACATTAAAATTCATCATCTAATATTGCGTATCCTAGATATCATTAGTTTATTTTGTTCTTGAATTGTTATAAGAAACTCTTTAAAATTGACATATATGTGGGAAAAAAATTAGCATAAAAAGTGCAACATATTTTCGGGTTACATATTTCAAATAACTATAGAGTTATATGAATGAGCAAATGAAAGAGATGAGATCACATTTGTTATTATAAATTGTTGTTAAATAACGTGTATAAAATCTATATATATTATTAATTTAGAAATTTATGAGCATAATTAACTCTTTTAATATAACATTATTGACACAAAACGTGTCTATAGAATGGCGGTAAAACTTGAATCATAATAAACATAAGGTCATAGGTTCAAATATCAATGATATCAAATTTTTTTTTTGGGATATAATAATGATTATTAATGGACTGGTATGACATGACGACACATTATATGCCAAATGACAAAAGTAGTGACACATGACAGAATTGCATGTTTTGCCATGGGTTTTAATAATATACTAGTGAGTAGCCCGAGCGTTGCCTCGGGTTGCTACTTTTGTAATTATACAATAGGAGTAATTTTATTTTTATTTTTATTTTATTTATTTTTTTTATGGATTTTGTATTTTAGTTTGGCAATAGTCTTTGTGTAGGCGAATTTTTTTTTTGGTAATAGGGAATAAAGAGTCAAGTTGTCAAGGAAATTTAGTTACCGCCTTAAATCATTAATACAAACATTGTCTTTATGCCTACCTGTCTTTTTTTTATTATTATTTTTTTTATTTGAATGAATGTGTGTGTATTTTTTTAATAATTAAAATATTTCTTTTTCATATATGTAACATGCTTGATATTTGGCTTAGATGGTTGAAAAGCCAATTTTGTTATAAGTGGTTCGCGGTTCAAATCTCCTTATCTTCAAATTTTTTATATGATGTCTCATGATGAGATGTTGGGTAGGTGACATGGCATAACGAAGGTGTTGTGAAGTGACATGGCATCATGAAATGTTTGTGAAGTGACATGGCGGTAATGTGGAGGAGTCTACGTGGCACAGTGACGTTTTTATAAACACCTTTTAATATATTAGTATAGATATTGATATTTTATAATATTGCTTGTATTCCAAACATAATTGAACATTAAAATTCATCATCTAATATTGCGTATCCTAGATATCATTAGTTTATTTTTTTCTTGAATTGTTATAAGAAACTCTTTAAAATTGACATATACGTGGGAAAAAAAATTAGCATAAAAAGTGCAACATATTTTCTGGTTACATATTTCAAATAACTATAGAGTTGTATGAATGAGCAAATGAAAGAGATGAGATCACATTTGTTATTATAAATTGTTGTTAAATAACGTGTATAAAATCTATATATATTATTAATTTTGAAATTTATGACCACAATTAACTCTTTTAATATAACGTTATTGACACAAAACGTGTCTATAGAATGGTGGTAAAACTTGAATCATAATAAACATAAGGTCATGGGTTCAAATATCAATGGTATCAATATTTTTTTTGGATATAATAATTATCATTAATGGACTGGTATGACATGGCGCCACATCATATGCCAAATGGCAAAAGTAGTGACACATGACAGAATTGCATGTTTTGCCATGGGTTTTAATAATATACTAGGTTAATCTCGTGCATCAATCCCGTGCGATGCACGATTTTATAATAAGAAAGAAAAAAACTACTTCCTCCGTTTTCCTAATTAATTTTTGATTAAATATGAATATACAATTCCCAAGAATGCATAATTTTCATATTTAATTAGGAAAATTTTAAATTATATTATTACCTATTGTTAACAAATCATAAATAACTAAATAACATAATCCTATATATAAGTGAAAGGGGGTTTTGGGTGATAAATTTCACTTTCCCAAAATACCCCTCTCATTTTTGTTTTACTTTTTTTTTTTAAAAAACTACCATCTAAAACATAATACCATCCTTTAATAAAAGCTACCATCTAAAAAACCTAACATGTGAAATAAAGAAAGAAAAAAAAACTTCCATTTGAAAAAAACAAGATTTTACTCTATAGATTCACACGCACGAAATTTCGTGCGTCTCTACACATGTATCTATAGAAAACCAAAATTTTAAAAATTCAAATGGAATTTAATTTTCAAAGCAATGTTAAATAGGGTAGCTTGTAAAGGAAAAATATGACATCATCCATGCATTTTGGAAGGAAAAAATAAAATAAGAAAGTGACACGTAGGCAGTGATGACATCAGCAGTTGTTATTTTAGTATATATATAGATATTGATTTTTTTATAATATTACTTGTATTCCAAACATAATTGAACATTAAAATTAATCATCTAATATTGCATATCCTAAATATCATTAGTTTATTTTGATCTTGAATTGTTATAAGAAACTCTTTAAAATTGACATATATGTTGGAAAAAAATTCGCATAAAAAGTGCAACATATTTTCGGGTTACATATATCAAATAACTATAGAGTAGTATGAATGAGCAAATGAAAGAGATGAGATCACAATTGTTATTATAAATTTTGAAATTTATGAGCATAATTAACTCTTTTAATATAACATTATTGACACAAAACATGTCTATAGAATGGTGGTAAAACTTGAATCATAATAAACATAAGGTCATGGGTTAAAGTATCAATTAAAACCTTTTTTTTTTTTGGATATAATAATGATCATTAATGGACTGATATGACATGACGACACATTATATGCCAAATGGCAAAGTAGTGACACATGGAAAAATTGCATGTTTTGCCATGGGTTTTAATAATATATATTGATTATTAATTTTGAAATTTATGAGCATAATTAACTCTTTTAATATAACATTATTGACACAAAACATGTATATAGAATGGTGATAAAACTTGAATCATAATAAACATAAGGTCATGGGTTCAAGTACTAATGGTATCAATTTTTTTTTGATATAATAATGATCATTAATGGACTGATATGACATGGCGCCACATTATATGCCAAATGGCAAAGTAGTGACACATGGCAGAATTGCATGTTTTGCCAAGGGTTTTAATAATATATATTGATGGCGCCACATTATATGCCAAATGGCAAAAGTAGTGACACATGACAAAATTGCATGTTTTGCCATGAGTTTTAATAATATATATTGATAAGTCTTAGCTGCACCACCACACTCTAAGTAAACATTTTGTAAAAAAATACGAACACATAAATTAATGAACATTTAATACTAAAAAGTGAATACGTTAAAAAAAATGACCATTTAGTATAGTTAAAATGAGCATTTAGTTAAAATTAAATTATGAACACTGAAAAAAATAAAAAATTATGAACATGTAAAAAAATCAAAAATTCAGTAATAAAAAATGATACGTAAAAAAAATGAACCTTTAATAACAAAAAGTGAACATGTCAATAAAATATATGAACATTTGGTATATTAAAAATGAGCATTTAATCTATCATATACTTCCTCCGTTATTTTATACTTGCTCAACTTTCTTTTTCCGGCCATTTTTAAATACTTGCTTCATTTCCTTATTTGAAAAACTTTAACAATATTTAATTAGTTTCTCTTACCTACCATAAACCATATGTTATGAATTTCATATTCTCTCTCTCTTCCGATTCTCTCCACTACATTTGTTTTTTACATTTTTTTTATTCTTTTACCTACCCCACTATCTCCATATTTTATTACTTTCTCCAATTTCTTCTAAAACCACGCGCATGGAGAAATGGAGCAAATATTTAAAAACAGAGGGAGTAATAGCTAGACCATACCTAATAAATGAACATTTTAATAAAATATATAAACACGTTTATAAAAAACCCTCGAACATTTAGTATTAAAAAATGAACACGGAAAAAAAATAAAAAATTTGAACATTAAGTATATTAAAAATAAACATGATTTTCATCTATTCATATAGGTTCAAATTCATTGTATATAATTATTACTGAAAAAATAAAGATAAAACAAATCCCTCAAAAATGTTCAGGTCTTGTTCTGTTCACCTTATCTTCACTTATTTAAGGAGAAATAAGCTAAGTTCAGATAAGTTTAGATAAATTCAGATAAGATAAGTTCAGGAAATATAAGTTCAAATAAGTTTAGATAAATTGTGATAAGGGTTAATTAGGGCTATCGAAGTTCAATTCATAACTAAAATAAGTTCTAATAAGGGCTAATAAGTTCAGATAAGTTCAAATAAATTTTTTTTGAGGCAATAAGATCAAATAAGTAAAGATACGTAAAAATCAGGTGAATAGAACGCAACCTTGTTTTTTATGCACTATATGTTTATTTTAAAGTACTACATGTTCATATTTTTATTAGAAATTATACACACTTCAATTGTAATTATTTTCTAACTCTAAATAATTAAATATATACACCTTAAATCTAATCTTGGCTGAGAAAATAATTACCTATCTATAACACAATTAGGAATCAAAAGACTACCAGGCCAAAAAAAAAAAAAAAAAAAGAGGAGAGAGATAATGACTATAATCAGTTGATATTCATCACAAATTAAGCAATTCAATTGATATTTATCACAAATTCATAAAAATAAAAAAAAATCATCATGATCAACAAAATCAAACAAATTACAATTACAAATCGACAAATTATTTAAGGAGATAGTGAAATAATTACTACTTTTTATTTAATTTAATTTATTTATTTATTTATTTGACAATAGCAGAAAGAAAAGAAGACAAAGAAAAACTAAAAGACATCAAAGGTAAAAGAATTAAAGATACTATTGAAAGTAACTCGAGCTGGTTGGCTATACGGTGAGTGAAAATAGTATAGTGCACCCGGGTGCACCCAGAAAGAAAATTAGGCTTATTTTAAAGAACATGAGACAAAAAAAACATACGAGTGATTGAAAAAGAACATGCTAGTATTTGAAAAAGAACATGCATAATATATAGTGTTCAACAAAAGAACATGTTTGTGTTTAACAAAAAAACATGGCCTCCGAAAAGAACATTAAACATATTTTAAAGAACATGAAATAAAAAGAACATGTTAGTGTTTGAAAAAGAACAAGCTAGTGTTTGAAAAATTAACCTTGCTTGGTTATCTTCCAGTTGGCTTCAATTCGTTACTATTCTTCTCTTCTCCTCCTATTGTTCTTTTTTGAACAACTTTTACTTCATAGCTTTAATTATTTTTATTTTTATTTTTTAAAAACCACCAAATTCACAAAAATAAACACTTTGACTTTAAAATTATTGACGAAAAACAATTTGCATGTACAAAATTTATACTTACATTTTACTTGAATCCACCATTTGTTCAAGTTTGAAGGTTGAATTGTAGAAATAAGTTCAATTTTTTTTCTTGGGTTTCACTTTGAAGATGAACAATTTTTCTATTTTGAATTTTTTTTGAAAAATAGAAAAAAATAGAGAGAAAAGTTCTAGAGAGAGAAAATGAGTACTTTGGAAATGATTTTAACCCAAACGGTAGAAGAAGTACCAGTATTACGAGATTGACAGCAAAGTGAGATCAATTTGAGACCTTCATTGAAATTCTTAGATGAAAACAATGGTGTAAAGGAGAGAGAAAATTGGCAGCAAGAAAGAGAGTGATAGGAAGGGAAAGAGGAGTGAGAAATTGCAGGAGAAGAGAGTGATGAATTTGCAGTTGCAAGAAAATAAAAACATGTTCATTTGTTACCCATATTCTTTTATATATACTAAATGATCTTTCGGGTGCACCATGCGCATGGTGCACCCGGGTGCACCAACCACAAATTATGTATAATCGTATTAAGGTTTTTGTTATATGTAAACCTACTAGCTACATATAAAATATAATCATCAATGTACACTTAGTAATCGTTAACAATCAGTAACATTAATAATGATTAACATTTGTACTTTTTATTTCTAAAATATTATCTCTTGAAGTCATCAAGGAAAAAAAGGGATCAAATCTACCATTAATCCATTACCTTAAAACGTAGTGATATGTTGTAATCAAGTTTAATCCAACCTAGTGGTTCATAAGAAACGTCATTTTAAACATTGCCAAAAAATCCTTCCATGACAAATTACTGTGTCAGTTATATTATAGCTCTCATTATCCCTTGATCAGCAAAGACAACTATGCCCATCTCCTTTATTAAGCATCCTTTACATTGCTTTTTCGCTCTCCACCATTATTCTCTTAATTCAGAATTCTATGCAACTCTAAAGAACCTGAGCTAGAAAACTTTTCGTGGTATGTTCGATGCTCTAAGACATAAATGAAGTTTTTTGATTTTGTGCTGGTTAAGCCTACAACTCCTTTAATTTGACATTTTCTGCTGTTGAGTTTTTTGTCTTTCGTTTATGTTAATCTCTTACAAAAAAAAAAAAAAAAAATTAGTGGTGCATATTCACTTACAATCGTAGGTGCCTAACATAGGAAATTGTCGAATTGCATAATAACCAAGGAAACTAATAAGCCCCCATTTTTTTTTTCATAAAAAATATGAGAAGAAATACTCCGTAAACCATTACTGTGAAAATTAGTTTAATTTCATTCTCAGGTTTAAAATAAATAGACCCTCCATAATCACTATTAAACTTTCCCAAAATTCCCTCTACACTTCTGTGATTCTTTTCTTATCTGCTATCATTGACTTGAGCAGTTGAGCTTTACAAAACTAGCAAAATCTTTACCAATGCCAATTAATCATCCTAGTCATTTTTTTATCTTCTCCATTATTCTCATCAAAATATTTGTTTGCTACAACTTTTGTGAAACAATAGCTAGAAAAATTTGAGCACGAGCCAACTATTGTGCTTTCTATATACTTTTCCGAGTTACCAAGCTTCTAAGGTTTTTTTTATTGTCCTTTTTTCTTTATTTTTTGTTAGAATGAAAATCTCCATGGTTTGTCAAACTCTTTTATTTTCAGAATGAATATATGGAGTTAAGTCATGAACTCTCCTTTTGTCATAAAAATTTAGATCAATGTTTTCGTACAAACACATTAGAGGAATCCGCTGTTTCGGGAATTCCATGTTCATCTTTTAGATTGACAAAAAACGTTAATCTAGCCCCATTCTCGGTATTTCACATTGCATTAGTAAGGACTCATCTATCAATTTATGATCCTTATTTGGAATGTGGCACACGCAAGTTCATGACTATATATACATGCCATGTCATATTGGCCGTCTAAACGTCTTTTAACTCAAGGATGCTGTAGTTTAACTCTAGTTAGGGTTTTCAAACAAACTCTTTCCTGTTTTTTCTTCAACACCATCATACAATTTGGTTAGTATTTGAATCAGACCCGTTCTCAAATTATTTCTGTTTCTTCATTTCTGTATCTTCCTCTAATGTTCAGATTGGTATGGGACAAGATGCCCTTGGAAAAAGGTGCCTGCCACCGGTATTTGACGATGCTGCGGGAAAGGCAAACAACTCGAGCGAATCTGTAAGTCTTGTATATGCCGATTATGTAATGGTTATGTACTGGTTGTAAATTTCTTTGTTAATTCAACTGAAATCGTTGTTTAATGAGTAATTGAAACTTATTATTTTATAAATTAATAAGTGCTAATACAAACTCAGAATACGTATTCATTAATTGAAAATAGACAATACCGTGCAAATTCGAATTTTGCGTTCAAGGTTTAATTGAGCTTCGCGAATTCTTTTAATGAAATTGGAGATACCGTGCAAATGCAGCGCCCAATTGGTACTGGAATAGTTCAAAAATCCATAGAGTTACATCCGGGACTATTCACGGTAATCAAAATTGATATGATTTTAGTGTTTTAATTAGCATTTGTATATCTTGATTCAATTAGCTTAAGAATTTGATGTATTGTAGGATGACAGTTTAAGCTTGGGTGGTTTTGTGAAAGCAAAAGGGCAAGTGATTAATCATTACTTTGCTGCATTGCGTAGAGTGAGTTCCATTCTCATATTTTTTACAACTAAGATAATATTACATATTGATTTAAAGTTAGTTTACGGTAAAGGAAACCTGAAGTTGTTTCAAAAATGAACTGCAGCCCCCAAATATGACTTGTCGTGTTCAGTCAATTGGCAGAATATGCCAGAAATTCGATGAAAGGAGAAAAAGATGGGTTTGTGATATGGGGTTTGGGGGGCTGCTACATTTTGCTTCCCATATGCACTTACCCCGTCAATTAGCATATTGGATTATGACTCGTATTGATCCTATTAATAGGTGTTTAATAGGCACAAATGGTCGTTCGATTTACTTTTCGAAGAACCAAGTGCATTGGATTTTAGGAATTCCTAATGGGGAGAAACCAGTCCCTACATCCAAGGAAATGTCTGGTGTAGTTAGGATGAAGGCCAAAAAATATTGTTAAAGTATGGGAGGGCGTGGAAGACAAAAGCTAATAAACATGGGTCTAGGACATATACTTCAGTTGGCATTCCTGTTACTGGGATCATGATGGATAGATTGGAGGGACATTTTGATCCAGATGAAGAAGAAGAATTTAAAACCTTGTTCCTAATCATTTCTCTACATATGATTATGTGTCCAACACAATCCCCAAGACTGTCAACTGATTTGCTTCCGGCATTGAGTTGTTGTATGGATAGCCAAAACTATGATTGGTGTGAATTGGTATTGAACAAATTTCTGGAGAGTGTCTCAAATTTTGCTCGGCGGTTTTATGCTAATGGATTTGCAGGTGGTAGAGGTGGTTGTTCAATTTTTGCAGTTGTGATGTGAGTACCTCATATGCCTTTTTGTCAAATTTATTATAAGGATAAAATTGTTTTCTATAGTCAAGATTATTGTTTAATTTTGATTAAAATAGTTTAAGGACATAATTTCAGATTTTCTATTTGGATCGACTAAAATTAGCTTGGATCCCAATGCGTGGGATACATATCCTCGAGTGAAGGCATGGAGCATGCAGAGAATTGGGTATTCATGCAAGCTTGACCGAACTTATTCCGGTGACTATGGAAAACTAGGGGTATGTTATTATCTTCCATGTTTTAATGTAGCACATGTTACGTTTTTTATTTTACCTGACTGAACAATATCTTTGGTCTATGTAGGTTATAGATGTGGCTTATGGTGAAAGACATCCTAAGGTAGCACGGGACACATCTGGACCACCTCAATGTCCAACTTATGATGTGGGTATAGTTCTTTGGTAAATTTATATTGCAAGGGTTACAAATGCACCATCACTCTTTAACGATTTATATTTTATTTTTGTGTAGGATGTTTCGGCCCATGTTCCCAGTAGTAGTAGAGGTAGGCGTAGACGGGCGGATTACATGGGTTACGTTGGGGTTCGAAGTACGTGTACGATGATACCACCCCCACCAAACAGGTGAAGAATCAACATACGAAGAAGGTGCAGATTAATGAAAGTTATACAAGGTCGTTATGCAATGAAATACTGTTTTCATGTTTTAGCATGTCATATCAACTGGAGATAGACGCACACATCTGATTGATATAGATACCTGTAGACTTGTAGTAACTAGTAAGATTCAATTGTTAACAAGTCCCTAAAAGCAATGTAGCTGGTGATTACCTATACATAGTGTCCCTATACTTGTGTATACGAAGATTAGTACTATGAACATATGAAAAATGTTAACTTAAATAGGTAATCTTGTAGTGATGCTTGAATTGGATTTTAATTTATTGCCAATATTATTTATTAAAGTTTAGAACATGAGATTTCAGTCTTTTTTTTAAAATTTATTATGATAGACAACCAATATATAATTTGTACACATCTTACAAGGTCATATGACAAGGATAATCTATAAAATGACACTAATTTCAAATATTATTCTTAGGGTCTGTTCTCATTGACTGAACTCGGTTGAACTGAACTGAACCAAAATGAAATGAATATTTTATAAGAGAAGGAATTTAGGAGCTAAACTGAACTGAACTGAAATGAAATGAATATTTTATAAGAGAAGGAATTTAGGAGCTAAACTGAACTGAACTGAGCTGAACTGAACTGAACTGAACTTAACTAAAGTGAGCTGAGCTGAACTGAATTGAACTGAACTGAAGTGAACTGAATTTCAACGTACGAGAACAGGCCCTTAGTTATTTGTGTGTTCCAATCTCGGTTCTTTACTTTCATTACTTCTTAGAGTTTTACGTTGACCAACTTCATTAACTTGTACACTTGTTCGAGTACATAGATATGTTTACAAGTGACGTCTTCATTGTATAGTATAATTTGATCCTTATAGTGTATAGTTATATTATATGTAATTTCACTATGGGGACCTCAATATTCTATGAGAGAGTGTACATCTTTCATAAACGGTTGGGGGCTCATTTGCCGTAAGGAAAAAGAATTAATCCATGAATCAATCCATGGCCCTAAATTCAGCAATCCAATTGCAAGTATTTATAAATTAAAATTTAAAAATTTGGGTCATACATTGATTATTTTCCGAAGTATGGGATCCAATGAAGTTGTGTCCATTAAATTTGTTGAGTGTAGTGATAATGTAATGGAATATTAAGTGTGTGCAAGGAAAACAGACATATTACTACTATGCACATTGCCACCTTGGAGTAAAATGTGAATTAAAAATAAAAAAATATTTTATAACACAGATAATAAACGTAATATGTGTAATCTTGCAAGGATGATTGAATTTCAATATAAATATCTCCAACATTTATTTTGATATTGAGGATTAATTATATTGGACATGACTATAACATTAACAATTTTTTGTGGCCCAAACTAATTATGGATTTATCTTAAAGATAAAATATTGAACTAATTGGTGTAATGTATTGTGATTTTATTTAAGTTTGTTTATATCTCCCTCTTTAAGTCGAATTTATAATACTCCTTCTCATGTATCGATTTAATAAAAACCAAAAAAACATCCATCATTTTAGAAATTTCTGCCTTCATTTGATAACAATATATTGGCGAATGGTCTTAAACTGTTTTGGAAACTAAACATCGAACGTACTAAATTAGAATTACACAGAAAAGTTCCATGAGCTAATCATCTATTACAAGTGTCATCAACACAAAATAATATAGGTTAAAAGCTAACAAAGAGTTAATAATGTTAGATAACCGGGGGTCCATACCAGAATACCTATCAATATCTTCTCAAACTAAGAGTTGGTGGATCCATACTAGTCACCTCAATAATAAACTTTGCACCCAACGTAACACCTTCTCCCTTTATGAGTTCTTGGACTCCTTTCTTAACGTACAAGCCACAATCTTCCCATGTTGATTTTTTTTTGACGTGCATTGTGGCTTCCCATGTCTGACTTATCGTCAAATAAACAGTGCAAGGGTCTCCAAGGCCACTGAAATTTGCTTGAGCAAAGGGTAGAGAAATGTTCTAAAAAAATAAAAATAAGGAAAAATATAAACACACGAGTGTAAAAAGAATCAAGCAACCGTACCCATTAAAATATTAACACGTACTAAAATTCAACTTACAATTGTTGGTTTTTTAATGTAGCTTTTGATGAACTTGAATGGAAAGAAGGGGTTTGGATGTGGTTGTTGTATAGCTTGGGCAATGTCATCGCCATCATTAGCACCATCATTAGCATCATCATCTCCATTTTCGCTAGAATCAGACGAGATCAAAATTACATCATCGGTTTCTTCTTCGCCATCCCTCCAAATGGCCACCTTAAATGAATCATCACAAATTACCGTGATGACTAATGTGTCACCAAATGCTACGCTGTTTTCCTCCACAAAGACCTCCCAACCATCTCCAAAAAACAACTTATGTCCAGATTTAGTCTTCACCTTCTTTAGCTTAACCCCATAAGTAATGGAGTCATCATCGCCTCTTTGAACTTTCACCTCCCTTACGCCCCTTGAAATTTCCTCCTTTATATAATCTGGAAGACACTGTTTTCAAAACATGTACTTAGATGACGCTAGGTTGAAGGGAAAATTATATGATACCCTTACATTATAGTGATTAAAAACATGCTCACCAAATAATACAACTTCTGATCATCATTAATCGTGACATTGAACCATGTATCACCATTGTCGGCCATATCCTTCTAAACAAAGAAATGGGTGATTGGAAATCATAAGTGTGATAAACAAAGAATAAAAAGTCCATATCCGGATAAGTGTAACAATCAATGAAAGAGGTGACAGTATAGGTAAGCCAAATAAAGCGAAACAATTGCTATATTGGAAAAAAAACCTAAGATTTAACAATTCAATTCTTACCAAAAACAGAAAAAACCATTTTCCAAATCCCAAGTCAAAAAAAAAAAAAAAAAAAAAACAAAACAAAAACACCATAAGAAAAATACAAAATATCAGATTAAACGTGGAAATTGACTACTCCAATTCCACCATCAACAACATAACATAATCAATTACTTCCTATTCTACCACTAATTTCAAATGAGACAAATATTAAAAACAAGGAATTCACCAATCAGAAATTGGAAACATAAACAACCATTTCCGGCTCAATAAACGGCCAAATAAAACCGTATTAAACACATTCTCCAAACACACACATCAAGAAACCTATCAATAATTCCACCATTAAAAAATAGATTTAAACCAAAACTTGAAATTTATCCATATAAAACTGACGACAATTGTATTAAACATCAAAATCACTAAATATAAACCTTCATTCAACGGAATTTGCTAAATATGTAGCTATTGAGACTCGATTTTGAACACACTTTGAAGAACAAACAAGGCATGCATAGAACTTGATACATGTTTATCATAAATGAAAATTTCTTATTGTTGGACCAAAACCACAACAAAGATGATTAATACCTGATTAAAGTGTATGCGGTGTTGGTGTGTTGCAAGATCTTCCCTTGAGCCTTGCGCCGTCGCAGAGCAAAGAATTATGAGAGGACAGATGATTTGCTTTGGAGGAAAGGGGTAGAGTTTTGAATTGAAATAAATATCAGACGTTAAAAAAGGGGGACATAAAGAGTCTTTTTGGTATCTTCCCTCACGTGACTTGATGATGGTATAATGTTGTGAAAAAGGAACCGACAAATCTCCCTTTAAAAAAAAAACTTTAAAAAAAATAAAAAACAAAAAAATATTTATTAAAAAAAAATAATTTAACCGTTCAAATTAGCGAATAGTAACAAAGTTAACGGTTAATAAAGTGTAATGTAAAATTAAGTGAGATAAAATTATTTTGATATCCTTATGCAAAAAAAAAAAAAAATTGTAAAAAAAAATAATTAATTGTTTATCCGAATATTTTTATTTTTCAAAGCAAGTACTTATATGATATTATTAAATGTCAGAAGGGGAAAAAAATTATGAGGGGAATAAAATTTTATTTTATTTTTGATGAATAATAGGGATTAGAAATTGTTTTTTCTCATTGTATCATAAAACACCCTTTTGTATAAATTTCGTAATAATTTTGAAAAAAAAAACCACCTTTCACTTTGTAGGAAAATTGATTAAAATCTAAGAATATAAACATTTATTAAAATCGGCCATGAAAACCCAAATCATACCGAATACCTAAATAAAAAAAGGGGGGGGGGGGGCATAGTGGTGTTGTTAGGAATCGATCCTTTGACAATTGAAAGCTAATTTGTTCAGACTTGTATGACATGCATGTAGCCATTGAGATAGTGGTATCACCTTGATAGTTTTGGTATAGACTCAATAGCAGGATAGTATTATTATTTATTATTACTATAATGTGATATAATGATGAATTATATATTTATACGGTCATCAACTCAACATAAATCATGATAATTACTTTGAATTACTTACCTTATATATATGGACATTACACCATTAGTACTTTGCACATTCGATATAAATATCTCCCACATTTATTTGTTACATTTAAAAAATGACCTATAACGTATATTATGTCATATGAAAACAACCAATAAATATAAAGTACACAACTTTTAAGTTGATGTGGCAAAGTGTAGTCGACATAGGCATGAAATTTTAAACCTAATTATATCTTTTTGATTAAATAAAATAGGCAGCTAAAAATGTATTTGTTTTTGTGGAACACCTTAAGTTGCTTGTAGTCTTGTTCTAGACAACAAGAATCGGTTAGGAAAAGGCGGGTCCGAAACCGGATTGTGAACAGGTGGTTCCAAATTCGGGTAATAAATTACCCCGTTAATAACCAATGCCAATTCTCAACCTTTTCAAATCGAAACGTTGGTATCCGGTTACCAAATATTTGTAAAACAACTAAAATTTTGAAATAATAAAAATATGTTGAATGTATCTAATATTTAACTTTGAATAAGTATTTGATAATACGTCACATAAATACTAATTGATTAATGAATGTAAAAATATAAGTATGAAATGATAAAAATGAATCTGACCAAAATAAAAAATTTAAGTTATATTATATCTTAATACATAAGTGGTTGCCCAGAACCCGAACCGGGACCTGGTGTTTCCAATATCAATTCCTAAATTTTTGGACCCGGTAGAACTAATTCTAAATCTGGATCCAAAAATTTTAGGTCCCGAATACAACAAAATAAAAGTACAAGTCATAAAATTTTGATTGGGTACCCGATTTGCTCTGTCCTAGTTAAAACTCCTATAAAAATAAAAAAACAAATAATTTATGTGGAATAAAACGATTTGTAACAAACTATTAAAATTTCTTTCGTATGGGTGTCTATGTTTAGGTCCTGAAAAAGTAAAAATAATGGTTTTTTTCCCTATATATATATATATATATATATATATTTACAATTTTCATTAAATTGCAATTGTAAGTAGAGCCGAAAATGTATATGCTAACCATGCCTCATGGCTTGAATTATTTGGTTCATATTACATGGCCACCGAATATAATACCCGAATATTTTATGATTTTATATAAAATATTTTATAAAAATATAGTTTATTTTTATTTATTATATAACTTTTCTAATCTCATATTTTTTATTTAGACTTCGTAAAGTTTTAAAACCCTATCTTATTTAAATAGCATTGTACAATTGAAAAATGTATATAAACTATTTTTAAACCCTAAAAATATTATTTACCTCTCAAAAGATATTTTTTATAAAAAAAAAAGGTGTGGGGTTTGCCGTACGTAGCTTGTGCGTGACCTCCATGATCCAACCCCAAACTTGATTATTCATAAAAGTTTTTCTTTCATTATTCTCCAAACTCCATTGGATTTGTATAGTCAAAGCTTGCAGATTGCAACAGTGCTCAATATACCTTGCCTTGAATATTGTGATTTGATTGTTATTTGTTGAAAGGTAATCACACTTTATCAATTAGGAGATGTTTGATTAATTGATTGTATTAATTATTATGTGTAATCACAAACTCTTTTAAGATGTTTGATTAACTATCGATCTTTTGGAGTTGTTTGATTATAATGTGATTGTATTAAATTATTAGAATGGTTTGGTTATAATTTGTTTATTGATTGTAATTATTATGTGCAAATTTTATAATTGTAATTCGTGTGATCAAGTTTGTATATGTATATGTACATGATTGATTATTGGTACATATGATTTGATTGGATATGTTATGATTGATTATGTTTTATTCTAGGGTTTTAATGTTGTTCCTATAGGGAGTATTGTTTCATCGAGATTTTAGGGTTGCTAATGTGGGTATTATTTTTAGATTGAGCTTTGATTATTTTTGGGTGCTAGTATTATTTTCCTAAGAGTTGAGATGTTTTTGAATTGAATTGATGTATTATTTGGGAACTTGTGCCATTGTGGAGTTATTATTTATTATCATGTGAAAGATTATTTGATCGATGTATGAGATCAAAAGGTTGAGAATTATTATTTTGTTCTTGGGAGGCTCGGCGTTATAGACCTTAGTCCTTGGCATGTGGGTAATGAGATAATGATCATGAGTTAAGAATGAGGTACAATCTTTATTATTTATTTTTCTATGGTCCCCTACAGTGGGAATTGACCCGTATGTGGTCTGGTTCAAGGTATTTTCTGGTTATTGAGAGTATTAAAGTTTTTATACTTGTTGGTTTTATTCGAATTACCCATGTCCAAGGCTAGGTATAGAACAATGAGCATGGCACTCTTACGGGTTATATGAGTTAATTGAGTAAAAGTTCATATTATTATTCGAGGTTGAGTTGATAAAGGTTATATTTTTTTTCAGAGTACAATGTGTAATGTATTTCTAAACTACATTGTTTAAGTGAGCTAATAATATTAATTATTATATTATTCTTTGTATTGTGATATGTGGTGATTACTCAATTTTTGTTGACGTGTGTGTATTGTTTTGTTGTGCTACTTGTGTTTGCGGCCATGTCTTTTTCTTATGGTGGCCCTGCGACGATCTATTTAGGAATTTGTCCTTAATGGTGAGCAGTCAAGTTTGTTTAAACAAGTTGATCAAGTGGTCGTAGCTAAAGGAGCTCAAGTGTTTCGATTAGTTTGTTATAACAAGTTTAATTTATAAAGTTGTATAAATAGCTCACTTAGATTATCGGGTTGTAATTAAAGGGATTGTGTAAGCCTTAACACTTGACAGGTTGTCGAGTGTGGCGGTGATACCTCCGATTTAGGTGTATGCTTCCGCAATTTTATTCAAAGGTTGTCTATTTTTCCTTTATTTATTGTTTATTATTAGCTAATAAATCGGGGGTGTTACACTGAACCTATTGCTGATCAAGGGATGGTAACGTATACTTCCTCCATTCTGTTAATATTGCAACAAGGAGGAAATTACGCAATCCAAAACATATTTTATATGCTAAATATCTATAATTGTGTAAGAGTAAAAATTATAAAAAGTTGATATTGTGAAAGTATTACATGAGTCGAATCCAACAAGATCCCACTTGACTATATTTTGTTTAACGTATAACTCATATTATATGGTCAAACAAGAGTGATGAATAGTGCAAAAAGTCCATTGTTGCAATATTAATAGAACGGAGGAAGTATACCATTAATTGTTATACTTTTATACCTCTTTTGCATTATAAATTTCCTGCGGATTGGTTTAATATTTACACCGTGGAATGATCGTTATAAAAATACAAAACAAAAGTAATACTAAGCAAATATACCAATTCAAAGCCCTACCGATCAATGAAAATCTAAAAATACTAAACACAAGGATAGAAAAATAAATAAACCATTGCAAAGCCATACTTCTCTGTTCATATACTCTAATTGAATTCCAAACAAAAGCACTAAGCTAATGTTTATTATATTTATGATTATTAATCACATTAATAAATTTTGTTCTAGAAGTAATGCTTTCTCACGTTTACTATCCAAACCTGACTCATATTTTCTCTCACCATTGTTGAAGTATGTACTTATTGTACTTCCCATAACTAACCTAATGAATATGATTTGTTGTTAGTTTTCAAATAGAAACTTGTATAGTGTCCCCTTTTTTTTTTGCTAATGATTGATGACATTTAGATCTTTCAAAAATTGATCCCACCCGAGATACCTACCCTAACCCGACATATCAACCAACCCGTTCGTACCCTTAAAAAATGGTGACCCAAACCTAACTTACCCCAACCTGAAACCAAATTATCGACTTGGAAATGTCACGACCTTGATTATAAGCCACAAATTATCGACTTGAACCGAACCAGATTGGAACCCGAAAATTACACTACCTGATTATAACTCGTAAATAATTAACTTGAACATAACCTGTTTCGAACCCGAGAAGACCCTAACTCGTTTAAACCCTTAATTAACCGACTTTAACCCGATCTATTTTGTACCCGAACCAGATGTAACACACGACCGTTTACTAACCCGACCAAAACCTGACAGAAACCCGTTAAGATGTCTTACTCAACGTGACCCGACTCCACCAGGATCAAACCCGAACCAGACCCACATATGTTCTGACATTAACCCGTATTCACCCTACTTGATATGACCCGACTCACGCTAACCTGACTCAAACCGACTCGTTTACCTGAATTGATTGCTCTAATGACAATGAACCATTAATCATTGATTTATTTTTGTTTTATTCAAAAACATCAATTACTGTTTTGCTTTCCCATTGAAATATTATATTATTATTATTTGTCTTATTCTTTTTTCTGTAATTTCCGTGTAATTTTACAAACGAAAATGTAATTTAGTAACACATGGATGGTTTTTATATGAAGTTATATCTTCTTCCTTTGTTTAATATTATCTAACTCATCAAATTTAATTCACCAAATTTCTTATTGTTTTCTTTATGTGTACATTTATTTCCTATTCATAATTATACCACAATTTATCAAGATGGTTTAATATA